TTGCTTTTTCTACTTGGAAAAGATATCTTTTCGGCTTTCAGGACTATTTATATCTGCGGGCGCTTATACAATCGAGAGCTACAATTAAGTTGTTGTGTACTTTACTTTACAGATACAGGCCGGGTCAGTACTCAATAGTGAACTGCCAGGACGAAAACACTTCAGAACCAAGGGCGGATCCAGAACACAATATTTTTTAGGGGGGGGGGGGGCAAAAGAATTTGGTCTCCCAAAAAGTGGGATTTTTGGATTCTAGATGCTCTGTGGTGCGATCTGAGGCAATTTCTGACCACTTTTACCATTTTTCTTTTGAGAAAAAAGATGGTGGTGCACGAAGTGCCTGCCTTTTTATTGCGACGTCACTGAAACAAAATCAGGTTCTTTTGGTGGGGGGGGGGGGGCATGGCCTCCGTTGCCCCCCCCCCCCCCGGATCCGCATTTGTTCAGAACTAGTAATTCAGAACTGACTTTTATAAGATGCCATTGCGTCAAAATTGTAATATTGCACAATAAATCAATAAAAAGGATCACTATTTTCCACATTTTTGTCTTCGTAAGTTCATTCAACCATATTATTGTTAGTTTTCGATGCACTTAACCAGATTATGTATAGGATTTCTTGGTATGGAAACAACACACGCGAGAAAAGAATGGCGTGGGCCTACAGGGCATGCAGGATAGTGGCTCCGTGTTCTGGAGGTCAATGACCTCTTAACTGAAGCATTCCCGTCTTGACATCCACATTTTTGGCGGAGTTTTTTTGGAAGGGCAAAGTATGCAGAAATCATATCTAATATTTCGCCAAGTGCCAAAGGTTAGTATGTATCATACAGCAATCACCCCGGGGGGAAAATACAGGAACAATTTTGCATTTCAACAATTTCACTTAAAACTGTCGTTCCTGGAAGATTCAGTTAGGTCTTTCCAGCTATAGTGGCACACCGACCGAGTACTCCCCCAATCCTGTTGCGGATTTCCTTCCACAATTCTTGAAACAAACATAACTGGTTCTCGGGCCTCAAAATATAATATCATTTGGGGACATTAAAAAAAGGTAACCTACACCTCCCTTTGTTTTCTGTCTTGACATTTTTTTGGAGGGAGTGGTTGGGGAGGGGGTGGGGTTGGATCATACCATGTCGAGTGGAGGGATGTACATAATGGTAGCGACTCCGCTAAAACGGCCACATCTCTCGTGGTATCTTTCACGAATAAGGTGCCGTTTACTAATTAATTCGATCCCGTCCTTCCTTTGAATTGAACATTAAACCTTTTCTTTTTTTTAAAACCCGAGCAAAATGGCTGGCTCAAGCTGAATCGTTTCAGTTTTGAATTTTTGTGATGCCTAAGAAATCCTGCCATTGTAAATTATTGTTGATCCTTGGGGGGGGGGGTATATACAGCTTCCCCGTCTCCAGGAACCAGAACTAGGCTACAGATCCACCAGTTTTACCAGCTGTTTTCCCTTTAATGTCTCTCAGTGATTGACGGTAGCATTGCCTCCGCACGCCTCCAAGTCGAAAACGACCCAAAGGTCACGGTGTACACGTACCAACCTACTTCACGGAGCTGTCATGTGATCGATGCCAATTATCATCTTGAAATATAGCCCATCTGGGCAAAGCAAAAAAAAATGAAATGTGACACATGGAGTTTTGGTGAGCTGACATCCCATTAATTGGTTCTGCGTGCTGGATGGGTTTAGTACCTGGAGAGGGGAGAGACTGCGCACGTCCGTTGGCAACCGGAGCACAAGATGCCTGTCTTGTGCGGGGAGGAGGCGGAGCAAGGATGTACCAAATTCTCCTCAAGTTGGAGTGATGTTGCTCCTATAGCTCTTGTGGGTTTCTGTCTCAGCTTAAATATAGAATAACACTAATATCCTGCGTGCCTGTCCGTTCAAAGTCGGAACCCTATACTTAAAATCAGGAACGGCAATTTCCTGACGGGGTTGTGGGGACCGCTAGCATGAAAAGCTGGAGCATGAAAAGCTGGAGCATGACGCCATCCGCATATTATGGGCGCTCTTCCAAGTACAACAGGGCCCATATACGTACGTATCCGCGCTTTTTGCAGATTCCTTGCGATACGAATTGTTCAATTTAGGCTCATTTTGTGGTCGATGCCCCCTTTTTTGGAGCTGGGGAACATTATTTTGAAAATTCAGGTAACTTCGGCACACATTTTACGCCTCCAGCAAAAAAAAAAAACATTCGGGAGAATGTTCCCAACTTTCCCCGGCATTCCCCCGGCATGCCCCCGGGATCGCCGCCCCCATTTTCAGGGCTTGGGCGCCTCCTGGCACTTAGTCAGCGTGCGTACCCCGTAGCAAATAAATTCAGTCCTGCGATAGCAATTCAGTTCAATTTATGTGTTTACAAGGAAATGAATCATGCATCCGATTGCAACGGAAAAACAAATTACGGAAATTGTCCCCATCTGACACCACGATTTTGGATGAGGGATCTGTTGATTACTGGGAGCGGTTCATAGAATCTGGGCCACGCGGGTCAGGCTGGGCCGTCTGCCCCCATGGGCCTCGTAAATACTGACAAAAATTGGTGGTGAAAAATATTTATGCTGACTTGCCAGGGTTCACACGTCGACCTGACTGGGATAGTTTCACAATTATTCGGTGACTGTGGATTCCGATGACAATCTGGACAAAGAATAAGCTTTGGTCGTCAACTGACGGCTGCAAACGATGGGAAAAGAAATGGGTCGTAGTTGCGGAAATTCTTCATCGTGTTATGACACACCTCTTGTATTCTACGTGCCGAGGAGGCCGCAGAACCAATCAGCCATGTATTTCATCATCATTTTTTATCATACCAATATATTTGATATAATCTGTATTTACATATTTGCGTTTGATGTTGTTTTTCCTTGCCAAGGCTTGAATAGCCTCATATATACTCATTTACAATTATGTACCTTCACACCAAGTTTTTTTCTTTTAAAAAATAAAATTTGTTATAGGCTAACCTATTTCGTAGGAGAAAAGTTCGTTTTCAGGCGTTTTAGTCATTCAAGTAGAAAACCCCTTTCGACATTACTTTTCATAAAAAGTGTTCGATCCCGCCTTGCCAAACGCTTTTTTGTTGCCCGATTGCGGAAAAAGTTTGAATTTGTAACCTTTATTACTTACTGTTGAGACCCACACAAATATTGTAAATCAATATCATGCATTATTACACCAATTCTTCTCTGTACTTTTACAGCAAATGTTTGCAAACCGTGAAACCTACGTTTTCTGTCGGTTTTCAAAGAAAATGACGATGTACGTTTCTTGTGCAGTTGAAGCATGTATGGAGGAAGGAAGTTTTTCCATGGTTAAAAAAAAAATATGCCGAGTTGCGCCGCCGTGGTATAAATTTTATGCAATCGCTTTTACCCTTCGAAACGTTTCAAGCAAAAACTTTTAGCATAATACTCACTCATGTTAAGGTACAGAAAGCACAATGACCCTGACCACTGTGAGTGCGGAAAATGTTTTTACAGTTGCATCATGAACAGACTTTTAGACATTCTACAAAATCGGATTTTTACCTAAACCTCAAGCAAAATAAACAGTTTATAACAACCGCAATGATGATATCTCTTTCAAGCCCGGCATCTTTTTTGGTATACCTTTCGACAAGTTGCTGGATCGCATGTCCTGTGGCAGTCATGACGATGTTTTTGGTCCTTTTAAGCACAAAAATCTCGGACATTAGCAGCAATTGATGTTTTATATACAATCTTAGGTTTAATGAGCCACAGCCATTTCCATTGTATACCTAACCTGTATGCAAATAGCGATAAAAACAATACCATACCAATACAAATATATTTTGGATTCATCAACCAACCGGATAACTGCAATGATGCAGGCCCCGCGTTTAATTAATGTGTGTTGCAATGCCCACTGAGAATCTCGCAAAGTTCAACTTTTAGTTTTAGGGTTTCAGGAGCTCCAGCGCTTGCGCTCTTGTTATTTCTTACACAGTGTTACCAAAGGAGGTATCAAATTGAACCGGAAAGTTTCCGTGACAAAACATTTATTTCGTTTTTTTGTTCACCGAGAAATGTCCAATCAATTATGATAATAATAATTGCTTAGTTCCTTTTTGTGCCAGGTGTATCTGCAGTGTACCATTTTCACGCATAAAAAACTACGCTAAGCATCATTCGTGTTTGCGTTATTTGCCTCGCTTTGATTTTGAAGATCTTGACACCATCATGTAAGATAGTGTTGCATGAAGAAAAAAAAACACTCTAAGACTAGCGCATGGGTTAGGTGACGGAGCTAAACACGTCGATCTGTACAGCCGAGGGCGGGATTGGGCTAGATATTCAATCATCAATAATTTGAACTTAAGGGGCGACAGAAACGAGGGACGCATCATTATTGAAAACGCAGCAAACGCGAAGATGCGATTATAAATCATGAATTTTTTGAAAGCCGTAGTTTTCAAAAACCGGGTCAGGTCCCTCTCGCCCTAACCCTGAATTCAGCTTTTTAATAACATCGATTATTACCCCCTTGACAATGCTGCTGTAACAATGAGATAGCTTGCACCTTTTTTTCATCCTGCCTCGCTCGATGATCCCCGAAGGCGGATAGTATCAAATGTGCGTAGCCTCTACCGTGTGTCCTCTAGTTGACCTTTCCTTATACTCCCTGTCCTACGGTGAACTTGGCAATGCTTCTCGTGTCAAAGCCCTCATAGCTTCAGAGTAAGACACGTAACGAGAGTCGCATGTTCACACAGCTTAGCACAAAGGTACAGGTAAACAATACCCGAGCTTCAAAAGACCATAGATGCCTTGGCCTCCAGATACGAGCCACGTGCTCCGCGGTGGACCAATCACAGCGCCAGGGAGTAGGCAGGAGTCGAAGAAAGAAAAGAAACAGCTGTTTTGTACTCGTAGTGACAGCCAAGCAGATGGTGTGAAATCATTTATCATAATATTGAGCAATCAAAGTCACCTTGACAAGAAGGCAGTAACTGGTAGGTCACCGTTGAGATATAACAATGATGCAGCCGTCCGCACGCAGATGTCAAGGGTACCACTTGCAGCAAGGATATCTCACCGGTGCTCGGCGTCTATATAAAAGACACACACGCTGGAAACTGCGTAGTCGTGGACAAGTGAATCTCCGGCCAATAAGGTGGACAGACATAAGGTAAATAACTACCTCAATTATTTTCCGTTTTTAAGTTTTTCAAAACAGAACATCAGAATCTCTGTGTTGTTTCGAAACTGTCTATTGTATTATCCAATTACAGTCTCTATCGACTGTAGACGCTCATCAAGTCGCTATATTCTTATCCACATTAGCAGGTAGCATTCAAAGTATTTTTCCCCGTTTATTTAGAAAAATTAAGCTATACATTACAATTCGCATTTCATTTGATTTTTCGAACGAAGTAGGTTTCGTTTTCACCTTCGGATTGTTGCGTTTTAAGATTTAAGAATCAAGGGCCTATCAACAACTTGATCATTGTTCTGTTATTTTATGTCTGAATTCCTTACCTTAATTATTTTTTTCTCTGTTTGATTGATATCCCTTCGTGGCAACTTCCAAAAGTTTTCTTTCAAAATAACACCTGGCTGATCTGAAAGTGTGAATTAACTGACATTTTGTTCGGTGTAGGGTCTATGATTTTTTTTTCGATATGCATAGGATTAATTGCCAAATTTCTTATTTCGTTGTTACCTAGCCTGCATAGTTCGCTCACTTTTGGTGCATAACACATGACGTTTGTGATGAAATTTGTGAATACGTTTCTTTAACCGCACTTTCAACTATGTTTTCGCGTGTAATTTCGTAATGTCTTTCACTTATCAGACACGTTTTCGATTTCTCAAGGTTTTGGAGAATCGACACAATAGACAGCTTCTATATACATGTATAGTACAATAATGCATTCTTTAGTTCAGCCGGCCATGCAACACTCTTCGTAGAATGTTGCGCACCGGAATGGTATAATCATGGCGTATAATTCAATTCAATATTACAATTATTTCCATACTGAACAATACATATCAGAATGCATAAGATGGTATTGTGGAGGCAAAATCCTAATAAGCCAAGGCTTGTAGCGGAGTGCCTTAAGAAGAGAATACAAAGACATGAAATAATTAATAAAGCTAAAAGAGTCAAAGACAATGATAAACAAAGGGGACAAAATGATCTGACCAGAAATAAAGAAAAATGTCTGGGGAAAAAACACCCTAAATCTGCAAGAGAGGTGGCAACACTGGAGAACAAACAGAAGGAAAAAAACGTATCTTACATATTGGGAGATAAGATACTCTTTGAAAGAGTTCTTAAAATAATTATGCCTATTTGAAAATTGCTTGATAAGTCCAACTTTTGTAATTGCCACTTAGCGTACTTCACAATAAAAGAGAACTACTATGAGTTAACGAGTTACGGGTCTGACAGCATGCGCGGCAGATAGAGAAAAAATAGACAAAATACTCCCTAATAAGGCCCAAAAAATACAAAAAAGGACACTCCCATTTGATAGGTCTTCTCCGAACATTGATGTTGTTGAGCGAAATTTTAACAACTGCGCAATTGTCGTAACATGTCAGACACTTTAATGAGCTTCTGTTGGAAAAGTGAATGTGATACATCACTAATAATGTGACATCTAATGAGTAGAAAACAATTCAGTACAGACCAAACTAAGGTACCACCACCCTTAATGACCTTGTACACCCTGTGGTCGGATGTACGCAGAGAATTAGACTTTACGGAATTGCCCAACTGTAAAACCTATTAGAACTGTTTCTTGCCTGGTTGTTGCTAAGCACCATCACTCCCTAGATTCCTAGCCATGTATAAACCATAAAGCAACGCATAAACCCAACAAATACCATTTACTCAAAACGGCCTTGAATGATTGAACCCTTTCACATTACGTAATAATACCCTGCGACAGTCCTTGATACAATAATGTTTTGTATTTAGATAAAGCTGTTGTGACGTTATTTGCAGCATTTCTAGGGATCAGGTATGTACACAGCGAAGGCCATTGGTACCCAGAGAGCTGCAACTCGGCAGTAGTTCAGAAAACTCTCGTCAGTGATCAGCGCGGAACTCCGGTTAAAAAAAGGTAAGTCGCCCTGATGTCGATTCGATGTTTGTTGCGCTCCTTCAAGCCTAAATGCAAATAATGTATATATTTTTTGACGCACACTTGAAAAACCAACTTCTGTTTTACCAAAAAAAACCAGTTATTTGAATAAACGTTCGTCGATGTTTTACATATTGTTCACATGAAGATGAAAGTTGATATGGATCATGTGGATCGGTTATTATTTAAGGCGATATTGTGACCAATTCGGGCCAAGCTCAAGATGCGCAGACCCGTCCAATTTAAATTTAATCTAGTAAGTTGTTTCCTTTTGAACGCCCTTTTGATTTATTTTAGTTTTTACTAATTGCATATCTCCCTCCATACCATCCCAACTTAGCCCGAAGCTGGTACTTTAAGGATTTACTTGTAGATGTTTTGTTTTACACGTACATTTTTGTGTGTGTGACAACCTGTTGTATAGTTAGAGAAAATCAGATGTACGTTTGTTTTGTGCTATAATTCCACAAATAAAACTCAAAAGGTTTTATCCTGATTACCAGTCAGAATCAATTGGGAAGTTGTTCATAATCATAACGCTGACACGGGGGATCGACTTAACACTTGCAGAGAAAATACATGCAGCAAGGATTGAAGTTAAAATGGAAACGGTCTTTTCTTGTCTAAAATTCAAACTTATGTTTATTCTGTTCAACTTTAAGCTGTTGATGGACGGAGAGAAAACACTTTTGGTGTGTATTTTTTCGTTATAAGGAGTCGATATTAGTGCTTGGATATTTTAAAGACATGCTATGTTAATCTACATTTTTCTTGTTGGTTTTCAACTGCAAATACTTGTGTTTCTTCAAATGTCCATACCCATATTTCATTCCCACACCCTATGAAAAAGCAGATTGGTTGAAATAGCCAATATATTGGTAGCATTGGCAGAAATGTGTCCGACCAAACCGAGATTGGTTGGACACATATCTACCAATCCTACCAATCTATTGGTTATTTCAACCAATCTGCTTTTAGGGTGCATGTATGTCGGTGAACTTTTGGGCAAGTACTTGAAGTTTAACTGTTTGCAATGATAGGTTGGTTATTTTAAACAGCCTCTGTGTGGGTTTAATACTGAGGCTGAAGTGGATGAGACAGAATCTCAAAAAAACCCTGACAGTCATATAGGATAAATGAAACTGGTGGTTTATTGATTTCACAAAGATCTATAATGGCTTGCACATTCTAATCAATATTTATGCCAGTATGCAGCCATGGTGAAAGGATATTACTAAACTGCATTTTAGTCTTTCGCAAGGCCAAAAACACTTACGCATTGTGGCTACGTCACTGCAGTATAGTGGGATGTCCATAAACACTCAAGCCTGCCAATACGTTCATTAACATAACTGGAAAATATCACGACTTCCTGAACTGAAGACAAGTGAAGAAATTGACAAACTTAAAACATATTCACAATATCAAAAAAGAATCCCCAAAAGCAAAAGATTCCACCAATGCACCCCAAACTGTTCAGGACATCGATGTATTTTCAGCCGGTGTACATTTTGCCAGGGTTGAATTCAGGGTGACAGACATTTTTTTCTCACCATATTGTTCAATTTTCTTTGGCGCAGATACTTTCAAGGATGCTGTTTGTCACTATTACTTTGACTTCAGTGGAGTGTCATTATTTGTAGTGTGAATGAAAAACAACAAAACCAAACAAACATAACCAAAGAAAATGAGACTAAAAGTAACAACGGTTACAAAAGTGAGCACATGACAGCAATGATCTCTGTCTATCTCGGCAGCAACACGGAGTCAACGTAGAAAAGGAGGGGTGTAGGACATTCCCAGCAAGTGGAACGTCATGTGCACTTCAGACCCACAGCATTAATTGATTAAAAGTGGGCAAATTTAAACGTCAACTTTTTTTTACTGGGTCAGGGTGCAGTGGGCGGTACGTCAGCTTTTATGTGGGTCATAGTAGCTCGATTATCTCCGCCCCAATTTTGTTAAGTTCATGGCCAACAAAGCACGCTACACATAGAATCTGAAAGTACACCCAGAGAACCACGTACGTACAATGTACGTGAACGTACACGGTTCATTTGTGACAATCCAGAAAACTCCAAAATTCAAAAGCTGCGGCGTTGAGGTTTGTTATGACAGGGACCAGACTCCCTATTTGGGTGCAGGGTCCATGGGTGATACTACTACAATTCAATATGAATTTCACCATGAAATTTATTGTTGTTGAAATGAAAGTACGTTTTAAATGCAGTGATTTTGTGGGGATTGTTTTTTAAGGCTGATTTTCTCTTATGAGCTAATCGAATGGAAAATTTAAGGTCGAGACTGACCTTTTTGGGTATCGTGTTTGTATCTTATCATGGAATTAATCATTTGTATGTATTCTCTTATACAGTAATTTGTGTTTGTAGCACATGTTGTAGGTTTGCATTCGTCACAATTATCCATCCTGCTCACTCGCAATCTTTTGACAAGCAACTCCGCCTGTCTGACTCGGCACTGATAGTGCTAAGAGGGGAGGGGGTTTTATTCCGTGACCCAAATCAGCCTCTAGGTCAGGGCTGTGAGATGACCTTAGATTGCTTACCCTCCTTCGCTGGGAATAGTCAAAAGAAACAGGTTCAGCTAGTTACCATGACAAAGCCGACTTGGCATGTTGTTCTTTTCGCTTGAACTCACCCTGAACTTGAGCCATTTTACCCACCGATAGTAAAAGTTCGTTTTCACGAGCAATTTTTGGGTTCACAAGTTCATTTCATTCATACTAAAATAGATTTGTTTTCCTGGTATAAATTTCACAGCACCTCGGCTAGGTAAGTTTAGTTCACGCAGGACAGAGATAGCACCAGCAACAAAAAAATTGCTTGAAAATACGAAGGCATCTCAAAGTTTTGTCAAAATATATCCACGTTCTTTCAGCAGATATACAGCCAATATGACACCAGATACCCCGATGATCGGGACGGTGGGACAGTACATTGTTCCACTTGCGTTACCCCTTCTACTGCCCATGGTGTTGCTACTCGTGATGCGTCGTTTGTGGTACGAGTACTTCTTCCTAAGCAGGGATCCGGCTTTCGATACCCCTCTGCCGGACGGTGGCATGGGATGGCCCTTGATCGGAGAAACCATCTCGTTCGCTCTTCAGGTAAGCTTTTCTCGAATTGCTGAACACTTTTGCCGAGTTGACGACCATTTTAAGCATTATCCGTCTTTGAGGTGTCTTTATTCTCGAAGTGTACCTTTTTTCCGGGCTCGTTGTCCACCGTTAGGGTTAGGCATTTTGCGCATATAACGATTGCATGCAGAAGGCTATGAAGGCAGGCGCAGTTCCACCAGGAAACAAAATTTTGATCCCGTATTCTCTATTTCGCCTTAAAAAGAAAAAGCCACTTCTTTACCCTCTCATTTTTAAACAACAACAACAACAACAACAACGTCGTTTCGTTTTCCCTGATTGTGCCAAGAATGTTCACCTACAAGCATTTCGAGAGTTCTTTATGAATCATGGCCTCTTAAACTGATTTAGATTTACCAAGCCGGGTATTTTTTAAGGTACCTGACAATTTCTTTGTTTCAAGAACCCGCGCTTGGTATTCAAAAGAGGTTAGCCCACGACTAAAAAATGTGACTACGGATGATAAGAATCAACGTATTAATGTTCTTGCTGTTGTGCGTTGATTTTTTTAATCAACGCGTACAGTTTAATGTTAGAGGAATCGAGACAGGATTGGGTATTGAACGTTTGCGAGAACATGAAAGCTTTGAATTACAAAGTATAATCATTTGTCTGTGTAATTCGTAAAACGAACGAAAGCGATTGGCATGTGCACGGCTTTCAAAAAATATCATTTACAATGTAATGTGTCGGCGTGTGTCATGTCATTGTCACACAAAGTTTCTGCGAATAGCGGATCTTGTTTGAGTATAAAAGCTTTTTGTACGTACCATTCTTTGTCCAGGCACAAGTGAACTTGTGTTTACTCTGTAATGCGATTAAATATTTTTTTTTCCAATGTGGGAAATAATACCATTTAGGATAGTGCACTATATCAATTAAAAATATCTTGAGTTGTAGCAGCAAGACAATTGAAATTGACATGAATAAAACCGGCCAAAGTATATACGCCATGAAATGTAATTTTGATTTTGTTTTCGTTAAAAGGATTTTATTTTTATATTTCAATAATTGTTATCTTCTTAAGGTTGAATTCCTTTATTATTTTAACCAGCATCCAAATGACGGCCATCTTGAATATCAAAATGGCCACCTTTTAAGATTTAATTTGAAACTTGGGCTATGAAAGTTGACCAGCATGAGATTACTGAAGAACATGACGAAGAAGTTTGAAGTATTTTATTTTTTGAGGGATAGATGATATTGTCAACAAAACTGCCTTCACATATATTTTTTTGTCTAAGGTGGGTAAAACTTGTTTTAGTAGTCTCGGTGTTTTAAATTTACTCTACATTTCACTGATATTTTTACGCAGGGCTCAGATTTTTACGACAAGAAGTTCCAGCAACACGGTCGAATTTTTAAGACACATCTGTTCGGCCGCCCAACGGTCCGCGTCCGAGGCGCAGATAACATCCGTAAGATTCTCCACGGCGAAAACGACATCGTGACTTCGTACTGGCCGACCACGACCAGAATCATCTTCGGTTCCGATTGTCTGTCGCAGAGCCAAGGCCCGTACCACACCAGGCTCCGCAAGCACGTGGCCAGTGCCTTCTCCCACACGGCGCTGTCCGGCTACGTCTCCCTGGTGCAGCCTCTCATCATTGAGACGATCAACGACTGGTGCAAGGCTACGAATGGTGTGGCAGTGTATCCCGAGTGCAGAGCTCTGACTTTCAGGGTCGCTGGCAAAGTCCTGTGCGGTTTCGACTGCAGCAAGTCAGAGACTGCCTCACTGATTGACTACTTTGAAGACATCGTTTACTGCCTCTTCTGCTTGCCCATCAACATACCTGGAGGTGGCTTCAATAAGGTAAGCTCATTTTAAGACATTTACCCACCCAAGATGTGCCCCAAGAGGTTAAAAAGAAATTGCATATACTTTGCATGTAAGAGACACTTACCTATTATGGAGTCATCACTTCCTTTTATGTCAATCTTGAAATGTTCAGATGTTTAGGTTGGTCAAATTATGTCTTTGTCTCATCCTCATGTTGCTTATGTAAATATTGTCACGACACTACCTTGCCGCCACGGTATTTACAATGAAATAAATGTTATTATGCAATGACAACTTGTCATATATGTTGTGTTAAGGCATGATACTGTTACATAAGTGAGCAAACATGCATACTGCCTGCCCAAGGTCCAACACAAATATTTTAAAATTAATTAATTAATTTTTTCACTAAAACTTGAAAAAGCGTGTTCTCCGTCAGAATTGAAAATTGACATTGAAAGTGGTTGCGAATTAATAAACGGTACACCAAGACTACTTTCTCATGAATCTCTATTCATGACAATCAAGGTTGTGATATTTTTCAACAAAAATTTCAACAACAAAAATTATACAAACAAAACAAACGAGGTGAATATATTACAATGCCTTTGTATACTTTTACAAATATTGTATAGGCTAATAGAAACGTTTTGATCTAAAGATAGGTATGGGTTTTTTTAATTATCCGAACTTGGATCCAGTTGATGCCGTACGTGTCTTTGGGTTTCTAATGAAAGATAAGATAGTTTGTCATATTGTTTCAAATCAATTCGACATTTATTTTTACATTGACATCCTCAGTGACAGTTCATACAAAAAAAAATGTGTAAACAAAACATTCTTCACAGACAGTATGTAATTAAGTATAAACATTAAACGATGTCAACATAAATGAAAAAGGTGAAGCACTGCTTTTGTAGCTTTCCCTGGGACAGGACAAGACTTAAACAACTACACACGGACAAAGATAGGGCAATCATATATAGCTTATTCAATGAAATGTATACACATTTTTGGATCAAAAAGCATATTCATGTGTGCTTTGCTCGGACAGCTATTTTTTATGGAAGCTGCTTACTGGAAGCTGCTTAGGCCTTCTGGAAGCTGCTTACAGTTTTCCCAGCTGCCAAACGGTATAGCAGTGAAATACTGACAGGAATAGCGCAACTTTTACCCGAGTTCATTGAACTGTAGCTGTCAGAGTGCATAACTGTCAGCTTGGACTGTAGCGCAAGTACACCAAGTATCCGTCATTGTCAACAAAACTCCCTTGGGGCACAAAAGGGGCCTATAGTAAAGCGGTTTGCTTCAAACACTAGACCCCCGAAATATATAACATTGTATCGAGGGGGGAAAGTACACGGTCGCTCCCTTCACAGACCGTAGTTTACAGTGAGGGAAAAACTTCCTGAAAGGGATGTGTGTAAACTTGAACAAATCCCCCAGGACACATCTATAGCGCTGAAATCAATACACATAGCAATTGGCGCCCAGATTTGTACCTGTGACCCGACACGCACGTGCCAAGCCGCAGAAAGCAACATTCCATGCAAATTAGTGCAGGGAGACATGGTTATTATTGGCCCCTGTGCCAGGGGAAGGGAAAGCATCGAAAAGGGATAAGTTTTGGGAATTATCGTTTTAATGAAAACACCGATTCTAAAAATCCTGGTAGTCCTACGCGGTTTCAGCAACGGGCCACCTCTAGATACTTTTAGTGGGCAGATTGGGAAAATTGTTTGGTGGGGATTGTTCGCTTTGATGATAAAAGCATGGCAGTTGGCACACAGTCATCTTAAGAAAGATATTTGGCTATAAGGGCCATCGCATATTTGTCTTTTGAAAAAATATAGGCAGAATAACATGCAATTTTCAAAAATTTCAAAATGGCTGGCACTGCTTAATTGTTATTCTACCTATATCTTTTTTCAAAAGACAAATATGCTATGGCCCTATAGCCAAATATATTTCTCATGGCATACTCTGGCTGTGTGCCAAATTCCTTGCTTTTATCATCAAATGAACAATCCCACTATCTGCCGTACTACTTGCGCAACGTTACCCCTCACTAAAAAAAATCACGTTTTCGACTCACACGTCTTTTGTAAGCAGCAAATATTTTCAAAATGCGGAAATTTGCACGTCAACATTTTTAGCTTTTGTTGCTTGTGTCAATAGAAATGACACACTTTTTTAGAAGAGGTCATCCCGAATATTGGTAAATTGATTGTCAACAACTGGGTGTGTTTTCAAACTGGGATATTTTTCCCATTCAATTTTTCTGTCCGATTCTTCATTGTTTTCGCACAGTTACAGGAGTGTCTTGCCCGTTCGACCTTCACCCGCCGTACGCAGATTGTAGGGCTCCCCGTACTTTTGCGTGTCGTATGGTTAGGCCTACTTTCGTTGAACAGGGAAATTTGTCGTGCGTGTATTCTTGTGTCAGGCGCCACTGATTTGATTGAAACGTTCCCGCTTTCTCTTTCTTTCTCTTGGTTCTGTCAATTCTTGTTTGTTTTGCAAGTCTTTTTTTAACCACGGCCTTTGCCTTAGATTCAGGAACGTTACGAAATGAGCAGCTATAAATAGCGCACACAATGTAACATTATAACAAACACACAATGTAACTTTATAACAAACAAATCATTTTGGCACGCACGTTTTGCCTCTGATTTTAAAGGTACATACACTTTTTCCTAGGATCGCCAAAATATACTGATTTCAATTGTTGTTTACATAGAATATTTCAAAGCCCGAGGTCATAGGAAACCCATAACTTCTTACACTTACGGAGTTAAATTTAAGAAAGTTGTTGTCCAACCAACCCGGCCGCCATTTTTGATTATCCTGTATACGTGTTTCCAGCAGAAAGTAAACTTTATCGAATTATGAGCCGAAGCATGGTAAGAAATATGTGTGACTGAAATCAAGACTAGGCATATAGCTCTCACGCTGTTCGGTTTTTAAAGGACCGAAATGTCGTACCCTGATCTTCCGTTGAGCAATATTTACAAGAAATCTCAAATTTTCAAGGTGGTGTTGTGTGCAATATCAGATTTTTCTCCAATTGATCTTAACTTTTCAACGCTAGCTTTAGAGTGTCAAATGGCGTAATCTAGGAGTGCGGAAGACATGTTTTCATTGTTTATTTTTTAGCAACGCGGAATTACTCTTTTGATTCCACTGTGGGTCTTTCCATGAATTTCGGATCCAAAGTGTGACATTTCTCCTGTCCCTGTTGAACTTTTTGTAATTTGCGACATTCCAGTGTCATTCAAACTAATTTATTTTTGTTAGCTGGGTCGTTTGCTTCACCATTTATATCACTCATGGAGGAAGAAGAAATGAAGGAGTGCAGCCAGAATTACACAAGAAAGATGTCAGATGAAACAGTGGCAGCAAAAAGTGGACAGATGGAAATGCAAACGATTTGAGCAATAACCAGCTTACATACATCCCTTAATCTTAAGGAACACAGCAGTACTGTTTGCAACATGGTTATTTGAATAAAAATCTCCCTCGTTAAAAGCCTATTAAGTGAAACGGACTCAACTTTACGACATTGTACAGGCCTACACCATAATGACAAAAAAGACAGTCTTATCGATAACGCTGGGTTGCACAATATTCTTCTTCCACTTTAGGTTGACGTATGTACTATTAGTAATAATGTGTGACCAATTTCTGTTCACAGGGTCTGAAAGCACGTGACCTCATTGCCAAGCGAATCAAGGAAAACATACTCCGTAAGATGGACAATGATGATACCCAGGATGCATTGCGCATATTGATGGAACAGGACACAGAGACCGGGGAGATTCCTTCAACTCCGGTAAACAATTGTTTACTCCAGTCATGCTGTTTTTGATGGGCTTTCTCGTTTCTTTATAATTTACGAAACATTGCAGACTTTACACACGAATGCTTTGATGTATTTGGATTAAATGCCCAGTATTGGTTGCCCTTTGGGGAACCGTGCTGGCGGAACCGGAGTGAATCCTTTGAAACATCGTCAGAGACAATCAACCGTGATGTAAACAAAGTTTACAAGGAAACGATGACCGAGTTTTGTTTCTCTCTGCCAAAACCAATGCAATGATTATAAGCCAAGAGCGGAACAGTTAGTTTTTAACATTTTCCGAGTTCTTAAAATAATTGAAACCCCAAGTACAGACATCTGTTGTAAATTGTTCTTATCAACGCAAATGCCATAAATGGTAAGTCATCGCATGTTATAAAAGCAACTATTTGTTTTCTTCACTTTTCATCGTGAAGGCAATCGTGGCCAACGCCATCGATCTTCTCGTGGCTGGGTACGCATCCACTGCAAGTGCCGCTTGCAGCATCCTCCGCGACCTTCACAACAACAAGCACGTCCTGGCCAGGGTCCGCCGTGAGCTAGCCGACCACGGCATGACACAGGCCGGCAGTCCGCTGTCGCTCGAAGACATGAACCAGTTGAAGTACGTGTCCAATGTAGTGAAGGAAATCTTGCGGATGTCGCCACCCATCGGAGCCGCTTTCAGAAAGGCCCTCCGTACTTTTGAGTTGGACGTAAGTAGGCAGAATTTCTTATAGATATCAATTACCATATACCTTCATCTACAGCAATCAATTAAAATGTTAGGAAGTGGTGTTTACATTATCCTGAAGAGCTAGAGGTACACTTTTTCCGTTCAAAGAAAAAAAAACGAAAAAATGTGATCATGACTTTCTAACGCATATAATCGGTCGTTCCTCATTCTGGTTCCTTTTAAGCAAAAAAATGCAATGTGATAATTATACGAATTCAGATTATTATCAACATGTCGCTGAATGCAGTGATTCATATAATACGCAAGGCAGCGAAAAATGAATAGATAGTTTTACATATTTATAAGAATACCGCGCAAATCATGCACATCAAACCGTCATATGCTATGGTAGTTTGTCCTTTTTTTGTCCTTGGGTTTTACAAGTGAAGGAATTTTTTTGCTCTCATAGGTCACACTTTCCAGGCCAAAAAATGGTGTGAACTTTTCACGTTTGACCCAGAATGCGTGTGACACCGACATCATCAATTTCAGACGGTCTCAGTGGGGCAGTAATTGCTTTCATAAATTCGCGTTTGGACCTACTTCAACGAGCAGGTCGTGGAGCCTTTTCTTGTAGATTTTTTCTCTCCAATTTTGATTGGAGTCGGTTTTGATGGAGCCGTACTTTGTAAAAGTCCTCTTTGACCAGAGTAATTTGACATCATTCCTCTCAAAACGACGTAAAGGGTTGAGGCTGCATCACAAATTAAGTGTCACAGAAATCATGCCTTTCTTCAGGCAAATCTAATGTGAATGAAAGGGGAAGGTGAACATAAGGGACGCGAAAACTAAGCCTGTAAACCATCAAGCTGCCGAAGCAAATTGCTTCAATATTCGTCAGTGCTCATTTACGTATTGGCGAATCTGGGCACGTGATCAGTGTACACTGATGGCCCCCTTCAGTGGAAAAACATGCATTGTGTATACCTTTGTGTCCAAAGCAATTGCCCTGTGAGTGTGACGGATGATTAGCCATTAAAGGGGGGCTTCGTGATAGAATTGCTATAGCGTGCTCGGAATTGTCTGTAACCAGCCCAGCTATTGTTCAGATTTTCCGTCATGGGCAGTTGCTTTGAACAATAGCTTGCACAATGCTTTCGCCATTGAAGGGGGCCTCATGGAGTGCGCAGGGAAAACTCGGAATGGCCTTGAATATAACGTTGGTACTTTTGTTACGTTACAGGGCAAGCAGATTCCGGCTGGATGGACGGTCTTATACAGCATCCGTGAGACTGTTGGCTTGTCCGACACGTTCGCAGACAAGGCCAAGTTCGATCCCGATCGCTTCTCCTCAGAGCGGTGCGAGGACCGCAACGGCGACCGCTACAACTACTGCATATTCGGCGGTGGGCCACGGTCGTGCATCGGCAAGTCGTTCGCCGTGATGCTGATGCGCATGATGGTCATCGAACTGGCGCGGAGCTGTGACTGGGAGCTCCTCAAGCCCGACTCGCTGAAGATGACGCAGTTACCGACGCCCCATCCCGTGGACGGCATGCCGGTCAAATTCACTGCCTTGAACAACGTCGATCATAATTCTAACAGTTTTGTCTTCACGGAGTGTGAGTCGGAGAACGCTTCTGATTCCATTCAGAGCTCAGGCCCGTAGGCCAAACACATCTTCTTGAATCGTTTCTAAAAGTGTACCAGGAAAACAAAGATCTGTGGATTCAAAGAAATAGTTATGCATATTATTACAACAGCCAAGAAAATATTTCCATTTCCATTCTAGAAAATCGCTTAAAAATGTGTTTGTGGTTGGGTAGGGTTTTTTTGGGGGGGGAGGGGGGGAGCACAATTTTTTATTTTTTATTTTCAGTGGTGTAACAAAGGCTAACATTCTGAGTGGGCACCTGGAGTGCACACATTTTTCAAAGGGGTTCCTGAAGGCAAGCGATTTGTACTTAATTCTAGATCTGTTCAATTCAAGATTTCAAATGGGGGGGGGGGGGGGGAGGGGAAAGGGGGGGGGCACTGGAGGGGGCACGAACATCCGGGGGGAAGTGCACATGGGCCCCATAATTACGCCATTTGGCACAATACTTCAAGTATAATAATACTTGTATGTAACTCCCCAAGAAACAGGACACCTCTTATTGGCTTCAAATATCCAATTCTTTTGAGCGCAGATGTCATCGCCCCCAGACCTCTTTGGGGTAAACTTGTGTCTCTTGATGGCGCACTAAATTGTGATTAGTTCCCATTATTTAGCATTTTATATTAGCCTTTTCAGATACTGCTTGTGTCTTACCTTTTCTCTTTGGATAGAACGGTGGAAAATACATTAAACTTTGTTGAACATAGATGTTGCACAGTCATTCTCGTTTTTTTATTCAGTGTTTTATTTTATTTGCTTGATCCACAATAACAATGTATGTAATAGGTGTCTAATAAGCACAAGCGTTCCAGTTGATGTTTGTTTGAATTTATAAGTTTTGTATACTATAATTACACTTATCCTTCAAAACTAATATTGATTTGCTGATAACTACGAATTTGACTTTTGTTGTACATGACCTAAAAACTACATGTATTACACAAGGCATATTTCCCACATGAATTCAAGTGTAAATATCCTAAGATATAACGTATTCCGATATTAATCAAACTAAGCCTTTTTAGGAATGTAAATTGACACGTAGAACTTTGTGTGAATCACAAAATGGAACTTCCTATAATGTTGTTTCACGGTTAAATGGATATTTTTTGGGTTTATCATTTGAAATTATAGATATTGTATGTCATAATAATGAGTTATAGAAGCAGGGTAGTAAAAGGGTTTTTTTAAGGTGTTTTTTTTATTGTAAAGTATTATTAGTTGGAAAGATTCAAGAGTAGAATATGAACTTGCACACGCGGCTAGCTACATGTACACCTTGAACATTTTGCATTCAAAGAGTAATTGTCGCGGGAAGAAATTCCAGGGAGCGCCCATCGATGCCAGTCATTTTCTGAAGAGTTGGTATGCTCGTAGAGTTGAAATGTGAGCATGGATTTCTCACAATGTGAATGGTTAATTGTTGAGAGTTTTGGCTCTGTTGGAAATTCGTATAACCAAGTCGAAAAATGGCTACCGCATTATAGATGTTGGGGGATAAAATTCTTTTCAATTTTCTTCGTAAATAATTGAGACAAGCTTTGTGGATCGGCACCAAAGACCTTTGAAATAAAGCACTATATTTTTGCGATTTCGAATGAAATTCAATTTTTAAAGAGGAGAGGCACCGTGTTCTTGGTCCTGGCAGGATTTAACTTTTTTTCGTGTAAATAATAAATGAATTAACCAAAGTTTGGTATATCGATTTTTATTAACAATTTTATAAGTTTTGCTTTCGATACACGTTTTATGAATGTACAGTGTATAATGCATTGAAGCTTTGATAAATATTTGTTGGTGTGCCCACTAGTTCTCGGTGTTTTTCGTCTGGGAAAATATACGCCCGGGGAAAACACTGATATTGGGTTTATGTACATAATTACCATATACTAATACAGTTTAATTCTTTCATTAAGTCCTATTTTTTTCGTCTTCCACTGTTGTTATTATGATCATACTACATGTACGCTGTATGATGCGTTTTTTTTTTTTTACATTAAAACACACTGTGAAAAATGACCCTAAATACCTGTACATGTATCTCTCTTGTTTTCCTTCGTCGTGGTTTCCTTAACCTACGAGGATGCTGCAAGCAACTGCACTGATTGCATCATGGCTGGGGCTGTGTGGGTAGAGACGGAAGTTAGTGGAAATGTCCCCCGACAATTTATGTGGGTTTTTTTTGGGGGGGGGGGGGGCGGGGGGCGGGGGGCAAGACTGACTGACTTGCTGGCTGACGTTGGCCTACTGACTGACGGCCTAACTCCCCGAATGAATGACGTACCCTTACGGATTGACTGACTGCCAAACCCGACTAACTGAGTTACTGAGTAGGCATCAGAGTCGGCCTTCAACAGAAAACAAATTTTGTCAAAATTCCAAAAAAAAAAAAATGAGGGGGTTCTTAATTAGGAATGGATGGACATGACATTATGGGTGCACACCGGTTAATAGGCCAAAACCCACCCGCCGAGCCCATGCAGTCTCTCAAAATATTCAGTATTACAGACTTCTTAGAGTCATAAAATTGGGGAATTAAAGAGATATGGCAATGAGCTCTGGCCCGGACTTGGGGCTTCCAATACTTCTGAGGGGTCGTCTTCTTTGGGTGAGAATTTCTCAAAAAGTCAATGGTCAACCCAACAAAAAATAAACAGAAAATGAAAGATGACATGTTGATCATCATTTTTCTGTGCAGCTCAAATACCTGTGAGAGTTCTGAGTATTTGTAAAAGAATTTTGAAGTATAGGCATTTAGCGCTGGTGTTTGTTTTTTTTATTTTAATGGAGGGGCGTTCTTTTTTTTGACAGTGGGCCATGAACGGCGCCCTCAAGCGATACCAATCGGTCGCGCGCGCGCAAAATAAGCTGAGTGAAAGATTTTGTTGGACTTCCCTGGACTTGCTTGGAGTTGTTTCCGTGTCAACTAATTAACTAGCCTGATGAAGTTTAGCTGGCAAAATGTTTTAAACAACTTGGTACAAAACGCAGGGTAGTCTGAGTGAGTGCATGGGCCATGATATTGTTGATATATCGGTAATCCTTACTTTTAGGACCCCGTTCCTATATAGGAAGGGAAAGACTCACCAAAACAGTTGACTAAATGACACTCAAAATTGACATTCTGATACTTCGTGGCACATCTGAACAATTGGCAATGACACCTTCTTGACTTCTAAAGACTGCTTTAGCCTGCAAAAGTCACTTTGGTACTGGACAGACATCTGCAAAAGTCAGTTTTGAACAGAACTCGTAAAAAATAGAGGTGTCCTAAAAGTAAGGATTACCGATATATCATATAAGTATAAACGTGACGCACTTTGATTTTTGTAACGTCGTTGCAACTTGCACATGCTCATACATGTCATATTCATTCACATGTATGATGTAGCATGAGCATGTCACTGACACTTATTGTCAGCTGGAGTTACTCAAGCTAAATGTTGCACTGCATATGAAGGGGGGGGGGGGGAACAAAATTTGCCCCCCCCCCCAAAAAAAAAGGGTCAAAGAAATGACAGTTCTAAATTTTAACATAGAATTAGAAGAAGGCCATGTGAAGGCCTAGGCCCTAGATGTAAGATTTAAAGTAGGTGTTACTCTTACTTAGATAAAAATAGATTTTTGAGGTGAGAAAAAAATAGGGCCTAATTAATAATACAATAGGACCTATAGGCCTAATGAGTAATGTATAATACAAAAAAAAATAGAAATAATGAATAAAAGGATGCGGCTTCAAAAAAAAGATGCGGGCTTTGGACGATCAACTGATTTTTTTTTTAACTTGACCTTACATGTATTTATAATTATTATAGATCTATGTTGGGCCTAATAAAAAAATATCCTCGATGAACAGGTTATAAAGGGTATAAGGATTTATTTCAATCAAGAGAAAAACATCGACATGGCCTTCGGTTTACAATTTTTTTTGGCTGGTGGTGGAACACGTACCGCACACACAACAAATCAACTGGTTGTGTGGTATGATAATCGTACGTACTCTGCGTGTGTGTGTGTCCTTAGGTCAAACCTTGAAAACTTGATTGTTTCAAAAACAGGTACATGGACGATATTTTTTATGAGTGGACATGGTGGAGCGCTGGAACTACGGTACCCCCCGCATTACTATAGCGGTCCACTCAGTAGAGCTACATGTAGGTTTATGATAATTTGATTAGTAAATTTGATTTGATTTGGAAGGAAATGAGACTTAATACCTCTTTTAGCACAGATTATAAGTGCGAGTCACTGTCACAGCGGTTTCTTCTGGTGAACTTTGTCGCTTAATAAACTAGACGACTTTCACCAGAAGAAATGTCACCTGGGTACATATCAGAGATGCTTGTGTGGCTATATATTCCATAGCTTTTAAGACACTAGCTTGAGTAACTCCAGTTCTAATGCCTATGCGATAGGCATTAGAGCTGGAGTTACTCAAGCCAAGCTAATAAGACACCGAGTGAAGTAGTCAAGTGCAGTCAATGAACATTGCAACTCAAGAATATATAGATACTCAAGTTTAGTTACTGACTTGAGTTTGGCACATCTCATGTTTATATTTGGTTGGTTGAATTTATCACAGGAGGACTTCAGAACTGATGCATCATGACTCTTGGCAAAGAGTTGCTAGACCTTGCCAGCAAAGAAGAGAAGGATAAGCTGATGAGACTGCTGAAGAGAGCAACCAATGATGAGGTGATGGTCAAATCATTGCATCTTAAAAGACAGAAATGATTTTGATGCGGTGCGTGATTTAACATGGACAATTACTCAGACACGCCAGTCTGGTTCCCAAATTCTGTGTCCCTACAAATCATAGATCTGGTTTGCACCATGATCACATGACCATAATCAGCAGGACCCCGCTCGTTTCCCAAAATGCAGGCATGCCACTTTTCCTTGGATCAGCTGATTTCCTCTTTTTTCACTTCCAATGTGTGCCATTGAAAATAGAAAAACACTGTACAAAGTCTGGGAAAGATTTGAGTTTCCTTTTTTTTGGTGTGACTTCCCAGTTGCATGCCTGAAAATGATCACCATTTTGTGGTTATGTTTTGGTTGCAATTCGAGTACCTGTCATGTTTGTTTATAACTGAAACCTTGATTGCAGAAAAACATGTGAAAGTTACTGAAACAAAATCTGGCAAATTTGGTTTTGACTAAAGACAACTTTACACAGAATGTATGTTTGCATATTGCTGTTTAATTCATTGTTCAGTTATCTGAGATGCTTCATGTGCACGCCGGCAGACGTGATGGAGGCAATGTTGCAGACTTGATACGTATCATCTTCCAAGGTGCGAGTGGTAGTGAGCAGATCGCTATGAGGAGAAGGCTGTATGTTTACAACACCGCAATCAGTTTACTGCAAGAAGAGGATCTCACCAACAGAGTAGCGTCAGAGATCGTCGGTTTTCTGCTGATGGAGGTATATATGCAATAGGTCTCTCTCAAATACGGCCATCTCTGTAGGAAAACTGCAAGTGCGTATTTTACGCAATCAAGCACGCATTGCGCAGTGTTGAAAATGTTCCAAATATATGCACCGTTGACGTGTTAGAAATACGACACAGCTGATGCACGTTATGCATCCTATGGGAACCCTGATATGTATACCCTGAATTTCTGAAGATACTCTTTGTTTCATGCATCTTTTATTGATCTTTTTCTTGCAGACAGACAGTCTTCCAGCAAGTCATTTAGCTGAGCTAGCTGGTGTGTTCACGGATGCCGTCAAATCCAAAGACCCAACGAGTGGAAAGTAAGAAACAGGCACAAACTAAACAAAATGAAGAGATTGATAAACAAAGCAAGTGTCTCAGAATAAAGAAAAACTCAGAGTGATTTATTGCCGTTTGGAAGTTAGTGACGCCCCTGAGACAAACCTATAGAATGTTTGTACGCTAAGTTTTGTTTGTCTCAGATGTTGCACGTTCTGCGTCCGTTTGTATATCTGTTATTGGCCTATATTTCACAAGTTGCGTTGACCCGATTCTAAGGCAATTCTACCGTGATAGGCCAATTGAAAGCACATCCTTTTCTGTGGTATATCATTGGGAAAAGGCTTAACATCTATATTTTGCATACATTTTCAGATTATTACAATATGTTGCACTTACAATATAGTTTCATCACAAAATGTCAAGACAAATTCCAAGTGTGTGTTGTTTGTGTCCTTTTCCTGATATTTTCTTTGATTTCTCATTCCCGCACTTTTTTGACAGGGCCTTTGAGCTCCTCCCCAAAATCATCTCGTCTCTCGCTGCCAAGGAAACGGTCGCCTACGGCAACAACAACATGACGGGAGTGGAATATAAAAAGCACGTGATCAACACCCTGACATCTAGTAGATGGGACCCACACTGCGTCATTCATCTGGCTGCCATGTTCAGGTTGGTAGTCATTCACGTGTTAGGTATACACTATGCGCTCCTTCAATAGACTCCGTTCACAAGTACCCCCTCAACGGTTACAAGGGGAGAGTTGGGGGTCCACTTGGCAATGGCATTTGAACGCATTGCTGATGATGCCTGACGCTCACGAAAAAAAAAGGAATGGCTTTGTCCTCTGTCAATGATAGCATGCCTCGATTGGTCTATTTGAAGATTAAAAATGATAGAAACACTTGGATCCCTTGTCATTGACTAATAACAAGCCCGAATGTTTTGTCTTGTTGATAGGGATGTTGCGCTGAGCAGCGATCAGCTGAAATTTGTCATCACTAAGATTCTGAGACTGTGCAAGGATGTTGACTTGCAGGAACTACCACCGTTGGTGTATCAACTTCTCCTCCTATCAACCAAGGTACGAGTACAATGTGCTGCAGGCTAGTGTCTCTGTTACGCACCACCTATGGCAATGGTCCCAACTGTTCTTGGGACACTAGTCCCAGGTATCATTGGCACAGTCCCAGCTATCGTTGGCACAGTCCCAACTATTGTTGGGGATTATTGGGGACTGTCCCAACAGTTCAAACAAGGCATGTGCGACTCCCTCCCCCCCCCCCCCCCCAAAAAAAATAAAATAATGGGGGTGGGGGTTAAAATTTTGACAAAATTGTGCCTTTGAAAGCAACTTGACAGCGTGGCAGCAAACAATTAAAATTAGCCCCCTCACAGAGACTAAGAACACCCATTGTCGTGTTGCCACCAAAAAGTCCAAACCGACTTCATATTTCTAGTTCAGATAGGATTGCTGGCCCAACGCCTACCGGGACTAATTTCATGAAAGTATAGTCTTTTCCAATTCCTTGTTTTGATCTACAGGGCCATAAGAAACTGGTACTGCAAGGGCTGACAACCTATATCAGTGAACAGGATAAACTCTGCAAGGACCAACAAAGAGATCAACATTTGTAAGAAGATTCATTCATTTTTTTTCTTCGATGTAGCCAAAAGTAACCACTTTGTTATTTCAGTTTATTTACCTTGTTTGGACTAGGTTAGGGGACACAAAACATTTTAATTTTTCATTACTGATAGGATTTGGCAGATCTTCATTCAAAATACTTTTATCAGAGATCGACGTGAAACCAAGACCGATTCATTGGGACGCATGTTAATTATACAAATTAGTTTTTCAGCGTGAGCATACCTTAATTTGATAAATAATTTTATTTTTCGGTTTTCATTTTGAATTGACAGTAATGCCGAAGCCTTAAACACCATATCCCAGGATGCTTTGCGTCATATGGAAGGTACGGTCATTCTCCACGTGACGTTTGCCGTCAAGCAAGACCAGGAACTTGGCCGTGAATTTATCAAGTTTCTCAAGGTAAGAGTGGTCTGTGGAGAGAAGGCCAATGTCAAAAAAAATCCTTTCCAATACAGATATTTACGAGGTCTCTGGAGAGCTCAGCTCAGTATTACTATTACTCTAACATGTACGGTCATTCTCCACGTGACGTTCGCCGTCAAGCAAGACCAGGAACTTGGCCGTGAATTTATCAAGTTTCTCAAGGTAAGAGTGGTCTGTGGAGAGAAGGCCAATGTCAAAAAAAATCCTTTCCAATACTGATATTTACGAGGTCTCTGGAGAGCTCAGCTCAGTATTACTATTACTCTAACATCTGTCAGTAGTAGGTCTACTATTAATGACCCTGCATGCTGCAGTGGCAAGGGGAATGCACCAAGACTCACTGACGTTAGGCCGCACGGAGTCCCGTGTCTCACCCAAACTCCCCATTCACCTGAGAACTGGTACCTGCCGGGTGGACAATCAAGGCCGTCACTGAAAATTGTCCTTACTAACTGCCTGTACATGTATACAAACTTCCAGGATGCCAGTAGGATCGCGCAAGTTTTACTTGCAGTATTTTTTTACTTCGTGCCTATTAATCATGTTGTATTTTGTAAACCTCGTTATCCTCAATTTGTCTCTTATTTGCATCACAGGCAGGACAGATGATTGATAGTTCAGCTATTCTGTCACCGTTCAATGTCGCATTGGCGCTCTCCGTAGCTCAGATCCATAGATTTGAAGAACCAGTAAGTACATGTACACGGATAGCTTCACAAACTCACAGCTTTGTTTTTTGAAGTAAATGAGTTTTACTTGTTACAGTATTTTCAGAGTTGCCACATGATTCTGAAAGAAAGTCGGGCCAGACTATTTTCAAAATGGCGGCGGAGATGATTTAATGACCGTTTTGTGTCAGAACAAACAGCCATCGTAAAAGCTGTTATCATCCTCGTCCAAGATGTTTAAATGAATGAAAACATCGCACAGCTACATTAAGATTTGTGAAAATTGATCGTAATTTAATTTTGAACTGCATAACAGATTTGTTGCGTTAATCCTAGATATGGCATAAGTAACACACTGGGTTTTTTAAAATCAAGTTTTTGCGCTGCAATTTTGAAAAGCTGAACACATTTCAACTCTGGCGAATTTCACAGCGAATGATTTGTGACGTCACATTCACTTTGCTTTCCCTTTCGCATGACCTTAGAGCCAGCCTTACGACTCCTGACAGACAGCAAATGTATTTATTTTTTTCCTCCTTGATTTTTTTAGATCTATGATTTTTTGAAGAGTGCCATCTTGAAAAGTTTCAAAGATGCGGCCAGACAAAAGTCATCTCATTGGATTGCAGGTAAAGAGTGAAAGTCCTGAAATTCTGGTTCCATCATAGACTGTTCTAATGTTTGCTTGCCTTTAACCCAATCTTTATATATGCAGGAAATAAACACAATGTATTTGTTTATTTGTTCTGTAGAATTGGCCCCAATATCAACAGATGTGAGCGAGCTTATCTTGGATACAGTTCAAAACAGGTAAAGTATAGGAACAGGCATCTCGTTAAATGTTTTGAGATTTGGCAAACACAATACGAGGGCGCTGTTTTGTTTGGGTAAATTGTGTCCAATAAAGAACGAGTTTACCTGGACTAAACAGCGCCCTCAAAATATGTCCGAAATATCTCAGGGTTTTATCATTATGGCCTATTTGGGCTGCCGTCTTTTATTCATTTTGACCATAAATTTCAAACCGTTTAGTCTTCTTGCCATTCCACAGGCACGCATATGTCACATGCCAGAAAGTACGCATGTATACATACTGATTGTGTTTGTTTTCTAGTAGTCTTTATGTGCCTCAGTCCATTGGCTTGAAATTTGAGCCAAATTTGGTTGTGAAATTCAAATTTGGGAGACAAAATCAGAGAAAAAATTATTTGGTGGTGCACATGAATATCAAAATATTGTTACAATTTTGTGTAATGACTCAAAGAAATTTTAACTAAATTGCAATCATGTTTCAACAAAAAATGGGCTCAAAAAACGGGCAACGCCCCCTTATACGGTGGCCATAGCACAACCCATAACTGGAATGATAGGTGTAGCATCGGGCTTCCAGCATTTTGGTTCAGTTAGATGGTTCGGCTGCAGCACTAACTGTACAGACACAATTTTGGAGAGTGGACTAGCCAAGTCACTGCATAAGTGTCCTGAACTTTCTTTTTCTAAAGATCTCAAACTCAACCATTTCATCTGGCATCCAGTAACCACTATTCTGGGTTTTTTTAAAATTATTTTTGCACAGTTCCTACGGCTGGGATCATGTGACCCAAGGATTGGTACAGCTGGGATTCACGCTCATGGATGCATTTGGGCCCAAGGTCGGACCTCTCGGAAAATCCACAGGTAGGTTACCGAAAGGTACAATTTAACTACCTGCAGTTTGGATCCCACTTCTGACCCCTGTTCATGAGTCTCTAACCCTAAAACTACCAGGTCACACCCCCAATCCACCCTCCCCTGGTTCCAAACTGCTCGATGAACATTAGTTCTGTTGATACCTTGCGACACTTTTAGAGCACCAGGCATCTACCAACAGTCCCAACCAACAAGCCTGTTCCCTGGGCTGCCAGGTCCTGCTGACCACCTTCAAGGCCCATGAGATGGTACGCCCAGACATCTTGGAACAACTCCTCAACCGCATCGTCACCAAAGGCTCGGCACCAGTCTCTCATTATATCGGTGAGTCTCCACTCGGATTGCTCTGACGTTATCAACCTCTGTTTTGAGTTCTTATCAATTCCTTCTGGTGTTGATTTTACCCAGCTTACATAACACAGCACAGAAATTGATTAAGGCAAGGAACTTGGTCACAGTGTCCAAAAAATGCTATTGTGATCAATTGACCATTGTGCAGTGAGGCATGAAGGAAATTAAACAACACTCGTAGCGGTTTAGGCCAAGGATTGGGAGTATCTTCTCAATTAAAAAATTTCAAAACTTACCTCATGGTTGTATTGTTATTTCAAAAAAATTCAGAGGAAACACTTTTTGGGTACATGCAGAGATGCCAACCATTACTCTTTTGGAGTAATTATTAGGATTTTGAGGCATGTTACTACTCTTGAAATTTTCAGCTGTCCTATACGCCAACATTGTGGTTACTCTGAAAAGTTCTGTGGTTACTCTTAAACTTGACTGTTGTCCTATGTATTTACATTAGCATTACTCTTTGCAGGAAGAATCATTACTCTTTTGTAGTCTGTAAAGTTGGCATCTCTGGACATGCTGTTGAATGAACCATGTGCTTTATTAACCAATTTTCCACAGGTCTTCTTGCCAATACAGTCAACTCAGCCCCGCAGATTCTCCTCGATTCGCTCCGCAAGGTGCGGGAAGCGTTGGACTACCTAGCGTTCCTCTCTCCATCCTCAGCCGAGGGGCTCTTGAGAGCTGTGCAACCACTGACAAAACTCAACGTGTCGCTTAAAGACTCCCTCATGCTGGTACTCCGCAAGGCAATGTTCGCACGGTCAGTGTCTCTCATCGGGGCTCAGTGTTGTAGTTGTGTACATCACAATTCCGGTCATAAGTACATCACAATTCATAACATCATAGGTCTTTCCAATGACAAGGAACGGGGGACGAACAGCGACAAAGGAATACCATTGCCTTTGTCGCATTGTATTTGTATGACCTTGTAACTTGACTTGAGTCTGACTGACTTGTGACGGACTTGTGACGGACTTGTGACGGACTTGTGACGGACTTGTGACGGACTTGTGACGGACTTGTGACGGACTTGTGATGTACTTGTGATGTACTTGTGATGGATTTTATGATGGACTTGTGATTGACTTGTGATGGACTTGTGATGGACTTGTGATGGACTTGTGATGGACTTGTGATTTGACTTGTGATTTGACTTGTGATGGACTTGTGATTTGACTTGTGATGGGCTTGTGATGGACTTGTGATGGACTTGTGGGGTGAAGACTTGCAATGGACTGAAACAACACTACTATCTACTGTGTTTCACATGAAAATTGACTCGAAAAATAATTTTCATTCCAAAAAAGGCACAAATTAATGGTTTCAGTGTTGTTGAAAAGTATTCTTCTTTTGTGAAATGAAAAATGAATTCCTAAATGAATTTCTGAAGAGAATTTCCATTTTTTTCATTATTTCAAGTGTTATATACTGTATCTATATCTATCGCATTATTCAATTATGTGAATTGCGATTTTGATAGTCAAGACATTTTTATATTAAGAAGAAATATGTGCATTGTAATATGAGATTCTCATGGTTCGAACCCCATCCCAGCCCCCCCCCCCCCCCCCGATGCAATAGTAGGGAGTTGGGCTATACTTCTTACATGAACACACCATCAGGAAGGACGTTAGTTTTATTCAATCAAGCAAACAATTTAGACTATTAGGCAAGGCGTATTCCTTATGTACAAATATTTTTTCCTGAAATTTTTAAGTTTTGGGGCAGTTTTTAGAATGTTTCTGAATCCTGATTTTATTTCGTCATTTTTAGTGAAATAGTTTACTTACGTTTTGTCACAGACAAGGCGACGCCCGTAAAATTGCCGTTTCGGGATATCTTCAGATTCTCCAAAGTTTCCAGGTTTATGAGAGTCTGTCCGCCAGTCAGCTCTCCAGCCAGTCCTACATGTCGTCCTCCAGTCAGGTAATCTCAAATTTAATGTCAAATTTTATTAGAAAAAAAACCCGTTGATCTTCTCAAACTGTTACAACCTGTAAAGAGTATTTGGCTTATACTTGTTTGAAGACACGTGCCCCATGCCTATGTAGAGAGTACACATACCAGTTTTGGAAAGATTTCCATATATGAAGTTCACTAATTTTCCTCTGTATTGACTAACAAGCCCCCAGATAGCAATTTCATGTCATCAAAGTCAATTTGAGCAGTGAGAAAATACAAGCATTTTCTTAGAAAACACTTAAAAATTTTCAGTCCAATCTCATAGGGTTTGTACACAGGGTGTTGAGTGAACTTCGTATGTGAAAATCTTTCCCCAGTTTTTTATCCATGTTATTTATTGTGGGGCATGTTACTAATAATTAGGCCGAAAAAAAAGGTGGGTTTACAGTAAACCTTCTTAGATTTTCGCGGCCAAATTGCCGATCTCAAACTTTTCATTGCCACATTTGGCCAAACAAAATAAAGTATTATTATTTAGAAAATACACAGTTTTTTTTCCTCTGCAATTTTTCATGTGTGTGTTATTGTTTAATTAAACAATTAAACAGGTTAATTAAACAGAATACCATTAAAGATATCCTAAAGTAAACAAAGTGAGTATAAACCGACAGACAAACATAAACAAATTACAGTATACAATTATTTTCCTACCTATGTGCCTGGATAACTTTTAGGACTAAGCCGTGAACACACAATTGTTTTTCTGGCATTACGCAGATTTTTTGTTTCCAAAATAAGTTATTGATGCATATTTTCATCTGAATGCTGTAGACTTTGGTAGACATCCACACCAGAAGTCACCAGCCCAGCCACTACGAGGCCATGGTGTGTCTTGAGATTCTTGGGAATCTCCGTCGGTGCTTCACCCAACAGGCAGACGTTAGACTTATCCTGTATGAGGTAAAACATGCACATGCAGTTTATGCAAACTACACAGGGTGACCCCAAAAAAATGCAATCCTAAAACATTTGCCTTAAAAGAAGGGATTGGTGGATTTGTATGTTTTTGGTATCAGATTAAAGCTTAAAGCTTTTTTTTCAAATACTAGAACAATCATGAAAATAGCACTTTGGGTTGCTGAGAAAATGCCAATTATGTAAAAGTAGTCATTTTTCATCCTGTACACAAAAAAATACCACAGTAAGGGATTTTCACCGTACCTTTTTGTGCATGTCCTAATCCTTACAACAACACGGCACATAATATGACAAGAGTAAAAATTGATTTGATGGAAATGCCTTTTATTTTCCACCTGAACAGGCATCTGATCCTTTTTTTGTCCCATTTTGTACTCTTTCACCATCATAAATATGTAAAAATACTAATTAAATTGCACAATTGAAGGATAATTGCACAGCAAAATGTTTCACTGTTTGAGGTACTTGGGTACAGGATGAAAAATGACTACTTTTTTTTTTTAAAGGCAATTGTTTTAGAGTTGCATTTTTTGGGGGTCAGCCTGTATATTAACACATTGGCACCTGTACTACATTATTCATAGATAGAATTTGCGTTGGGGTGATGTATATTCAACATTGGGCTTTGCCCTTCACAGATGTATTTTAAAAACACTGAATAGGCAGGGCAGTTTGGGGTGGTATTGGGAGTAATAAGCAGGGCAGTTTACGGCGGTACGGAGACTGATTGGTTCATTTTAGCTTGCAGTATGTCTAAATGTTCATTTTCAATTCAGTGAACACAACCTTGTTGATTATTAAGCAGTTCGCGCTAGGATTATTTTGACAAGAACGAAGCGAGGCACGGGATTACGGGATTACTTTTCACTCGGCCTCAAACCAGGCGGGTTGAAGCCATCACCCTCGGGCAGCACACTTATATTTCTGGCCTGGCTCGCTGCAAGCAAGTCGCTGACATATTTTTCGGCCTCGCTCCCTGCGTGTTTATCCATCATCCGTTCCAAATACCGCCAAACCTTTGCAGGTATATGTATGTCATCAGGCGCGAACTGGTTAAACAATTGATATGATGATCACCTATTTGAAAATTTCAACAGAAAAGATTCAAAATAAGTTTTCCAATATTCCAAAGTTTATGTAATGGAACCAAATCTTTAATAGACTTGGAAAATGTTATCAGTGCAATTTGTCATTCACTGTTTTGGTTTGGTATGGATTTATTGTCAGGGTTTGTACGAAGTCTTGTACAACAATTCCAAGCTGAAGGACACCATTGTCGAGATGCTGAGCAAGCAGTGGACGCGGTATTACGAACCTGACGAGGACATACTTCCCCCCATCAAGCTGAATCAGTGCATCATGGCACAGGCAGATCAAGTCTCCAGCACGGAACCGGTGGTAAGATGCACCATTTGATAAATAAACAATTTATTTATTTATTTATTTATTATCCACATCCAACAGCAGAACAAACCGCCAATTACAGGACTGGTTAAAAAATATTATACAATTATTAAAAAATAAAAATATATATATACACAAATATGAGATTTAAAGTTGAACAAAGAAATTGACTGAAGTTTTGTTGAACAAAGAAATTGTTAAAGTTGAACAAAGAAATTGACAAGTTAAAGTTGAACAAAGAAATGGACTGAAGTTTTGAAACATCACAAATTAAAGACGGCGCAGGCAAAATTTGGTCAGTGTGAAACTTTGCCGATTGTCTCTATTCTGCCTCGATTCGAGATTTCTACATTTTTGTTTTCAAAAGAAATCTAAAATCTCCCCACTTTATGCTTGTGTTGAATTTTATCGTGATAACGGTACAGTTTTCCACCATTTCAACTAAAAGTGCTACATTCACTGTACGTACCAGTTTTATTTTTTATAATTGTTATTAATTGATTTCTGCTTTGTTTTCTTTGTGAAGTCCCACCTATTGCAATCGCTATGTCACTGCGTCCTACGATGCAAGAAGCTGATCTTGCAAGCTGAGGATGACGATGATGAAGATGTTGATGAAGATGACGAGCATCTAAGAAGCCTTATTCAACAACAGCAAGAGATGCTCAGTTCTCTCACCCAGCGCATGATTAAGAGTGACTTGGAAGATTTTGAATTGGTAAGCTTTAAGGCCGGTCCATACACAGCATAAAAGCATTAATTTGAATTTATGATGTTAAGAGACGTTTGTCCTGTGAAATCACAAAAGTTGAACACATTTCAACTCCAGTGAATTTCGCAGCGAATGTTTTATGACGTCAAATCCGCTTTGCATGGAGTATAAACCAGCTTTTAGGGCTGTTCAGTTTTGAATAATTTAGTTATTCCAGTATTCCAACTTGATCTTGATCAAAAATTAGAATATTCAAAATATGCTGATTAAGATTAATATGCGGCTGTCTGATCAGGATTTGGGTAAACCTGTGCTCGTCAAAATTTACAAAGAGTCAATTAGAACTATATATGTCATGATGTTTGACCGATTTTAATCAAAGAAGAAATTTGGACTAATATTCAATTGATCATGGAAGTTCTCAAATCGGGTGTGAAAGTGGATTTCAACAGAATTTTTTCAACAAAACCACCCAACTAAAATGATTAAAATAACATCGTGGACGTTTTTCGTCATCTCCATTAGACCTCTCTCATTTTTGAATATTTAAATTGAACAAAAATTATATTTGAATATTCACTTGATCAATGAGATCATTTTTATATTTGTTCACTTTCTTGCATCAGGACAAATCTGCGGATTTCTCCCAGACTAGCGGCGTAGGAGTCAAAAATACCATATTTGCCAACTTAGTCTTAGGTGTGTATGAAGTGCTTATGGTGTACAACTCCACCAATAATGACCGCAGGTAAGGCACAAAAGAGAAGTTACTATAATATTTACTTCAATTTGTAGTATTTGAATGAACTGCATGTTTTCTTCCAAAAAAAACCCCACAATCATATCTCCTTGTTTTTGATGTTTGATCAAGCTAATGTTGGATTGTTGTTAATTGCCAGATATAGTGTTACAGATATAGGTGCCCCTAAATTGCGTGAATACATTTAAATTCTTTCAATTTGGGGTCTAAATTTTGCTGTCATCTATGATTTATCATTCTGATGCACTCCTTAATGCAGTCATCCTCCAAGACTAATTAGGAATAGCAAACTACCTACCCAAAAATCCTACTGAAAATCCTCCAGCAATCACTGTCAATGTGTTGAGGCAGAGCCAGTGACATCCTGGAGCAGTGCGGAGGATTTCCAATTATAACTAAAAGTATGCACGGCTGAGCATAAACAACACAAGGTCCGGCCCAAGACCTTGACACAGTGCATCCTCCAAAATCAGCCACACATTTTTTTCTATATAGCCTCAATCCTGCAAAATCCTCCATTTTTCTGAGTGGATTTTGGAGGAATAGGGAAGGTTGGGGTTAAAGCAACAAAAGAAGGTATTAAGCCTTGTCAAATGTTAATTGCAGAATTTAAATACCTGTAATTAATAACTTTAATATGTTCTGATCCTTTTTAGCGCTGCCACTAGTGGAGAGCAGTTACTGCAGCTCTATGGCAAGTACCACAAGCTTGCGGAGATACTCAGAGAGAAAAGCGGCCAGAAGAACAAAGCGAGTCAGAAAGCTGTTCGTAGCCTCCTGTCCGTCAAGTTTGTGGCCGGCATGATGAAGGCCCTATTCACGTAGGCATTGAACTTTCCTTGTCATACAGAGTAGTCTTTCTCCAAGATTGAATTTGTTTCTTATTCCCCTAGAGGGCACTATCACCTACGTATAAACCAAATTCGCAGATATATGTAACAAAATGTGGACTAACTAAATTTGGTCATGGGGGTAGTATTTGAAGACAAAAAGCCCTTTTTTCCCAACATCGATACAAAATTTAATTTTCTTGAAAATGACGGCACACCAGGGTGCAAAGTTTTCACAGGATGCTTGAGACTATTGTATACTTACAGTCAAGTGAGGTATTTCACAAAAACTTGGTATTTTTTTTTTTATAATACTTGCAAATGTTGTACAACACCTTTAAGATTAAATCTGCTTTATAAGGCCTTTTCAAACTATCGTCTTACCTACCCGTGTTGAAATCAACATGAACCAGGTTCCACCAACTACTGGCCCGCAAGGCATTCCGTTCAAACTTACAGCTGTTTGTACATGGGCCGGCCGTACATTTTGGATTTTCTACCTGACTTTTTGCGAATCACAATTGTATCGTTTCCTGCCTATGCAGGGATGACAATCCCGACAATCAGGAGTGCCTCGCCGTGCTACGTGAACAGTCGGACTTTGTTCGCTACGTCGTCGGCACCGCCATTCAGAAGGTCCAGCAACTTAACGACAAGGGGCATTGTGACGGACCAGCGGGGACCAACCAGGAGAAACTCTATCGCTTCTGCTGCTTAGTCTCCAGGTAAGCTGAACTACGGAAGACTGCAGGCTACAACACCCTCATGTAACGTTCATTCAAAGATACACTACGTTCACATTGTACCGTGAACGATAAGGCCATCCCTTTCTAGTTATGTGGTTCTTAAAGTTGTTTACAAAAATGTAAAAATCTTTACAAAAATGCAGTTGCATCTGTATAGATGGTTGGATTAGATGATGCTAAGTGCGTTATCGGGAACTGATAATAGGGTCAGTCGGAAACGAGAACCAAAGAAATATAATTGGACGCCCTAAGTCGAAGCCAAGTGTGTGCGAGTCGCAAATCATTGTGCACACGCTGCTCTATAGGGATTACCATGCTAGCGTGTTACACGAACGGATGTATTGTTGAGGTACGCAACACGTGTGTTATATTTGCGACGTGTGTATGTATGATGTATTGTGACCGTGCCGTAGTTTTCAAGCTGTGGAGCAAAACCCAACTGGCAACCCTGACCATGCTACATCTAAAATGTTTCAGAGCACTAAATAAAAATGTCCTGTGTTTTTTTTTTCACGATGTTAACTATGAATTATTCCTCAGAGTGTTTCTGCACAAGTTTACTACAGACATCATAACACCAGCAGACCAAGGCAAAAAGGAAAAGGTAAAATCTTTTTGGTGGATTAAAATTTAAGATAGGCAGAGTATGAATATTCATGAACAATTGCTTTGTGAAAAATGACAAAAACATCGAGTAATGATTTAGGCACGATGTTTCGATTGCATCCCAGTTTATTGCCTATGTCCACATAAACTGTATTTTTTGTTACAGTTTTTTTAATGTACATGTACTCTTAATATATATTTTAAAGTTTTAATTGTTATGATCACATGCAATTTGACCTTTGGGTCACGATTTGTGGTTTTTAATAAAATAATAATAATAATAATAAAAAAATTATTAAAAAAAAAAAAAAAAAACTTAGCACGTCGGGCAAACGTTTGTTAAGTGTTCTTCATAAAAGCATACAGGGTTTTGACCCTGACTGTTGCTTGTGTTTCTTGGCAATTGCCTCTCTCCACCCAGGAGTGTAAATGGGTACCTGTGTACCAGCATTACATTCACTGTGTGGACTTCCCAACAAAAGAGGTCCACATAAACCAGGTTTCAGATACGTTGTGTGGACTTGCCCACGTCCACACAAGGTTTCCCCCTCTCTGGAAAACAGGTTTCGAGACATTTTTGGGTTAGGTTTATCAGTCACAAAATGAAGAGAAACGCTCAAGGGAATCATAGAAAGAAATTTCACAGTGTGAGTTAAAGAAGTTTTCACATGTGAGTGTTTTTCACAGGTTTTCACACTTAGGTATGTAAACGTAAACATGCATGAGTATAAATGGATACATGCGAGGGTAGAGACCAGATTGCGCTGACCACAAGATATGTGGCAGAAAACTGCTCTCATGGCCCGACGAACAGGGGTAATATTGTGAAGCACTTGGAGACTAAGGAGCACTGAATTAGAATCACAATATTGTTTTGTTGTCTGACCCTAGGGTAAAGCTGTGTCATCGCTGTGCCTGGAAGGCCTGTCTACAGCAGTCAGTGTGGTCTGTAGTCGATACTCCCACCGTGTTGCTGATTATCTGAGACGGATTGACCCTAACCTCAATGCCGAAGGAAGTCAACGAAACACGGTGTCGGAGGAGGACACGGTTCATCTACACATCAAGAAGCTGCAGGTACATTAGGGGTTTCCTCACTATTGGCTTGTAAGATCATTTGCCTTCATGCGTTTTGTTCGTTTCCGGCAAAAAAAACACTCTATCCCAAAGAAGATTGTTCAAAACATGACCTGTTGAACTGCCAGCTCAGTGGATATTACACTGTCAGTGAAACAGTGCAAAACCAAAAAAACAGAACTCTTTATTTCCGACGATCAGATTATTGGAAATCACATACATTTCTTGATTTCTGGCAAATGACAGTAAGCCAGATGGAATAATTTCACGGAGTGTTTAGTACCGCTACAATCTTTAATCCAAGTAAGCTTTTAGATTAATAATTCAGTTGGTTACTTTTTGGATAAACGTAAATCATCCTTTGTGTCTTTAATTGTCGGGGATAAGTTAACTGACTGAGTTTGTTCTAACATTGATTTCTTGTCAGCGTCTCGTCATGGGAATACTGACTGCCGATGATGATAGTTCCTCCATCAAGGATGCCATACAGCTCTGTCACATCATCATGTTACTGTCCAAGCACCTACACTCAAACGGAGCTCAGGTAACATAAACCAAAAATACTCAAATACACGTTAAAACAGTGTGACAATACAAAGTCCGTCATATAAAAATCCCATCACTGCTGTCGCTGGTATGGGCTCCACGCAAATGTACCCCGTCATCAATGGTTACATTGGAGGGAGACCACTGGGAGAGATATTTGAGGTTAAGTCCCGTACGTAACGCCACGCTTTCATAGGTAACGCCATGCTTTCATACGTAACGCCATGCTTTCATACGTAACGCCATGCTTTCATAGGTAACGCCATGCTTTCATAGGTAACGCCATGCTTTCATACGTAACGCCATGCTTTCATACGTTATGCCATGCTTTCATACGTTATGCCATGCTTTCATACGTAACGCCATGCTTTCATACGTAACGCCATGCTTTCATACGTTATGCCATGCTTTCATACATAACGCCATGCTTTCATACATAACGCATGCTTTCATGCATAACGCCATGCTTTCATAAGTAACACCATGCTTTCATACGTAACGCCATGCTTTCATACGTAATGCCATGCTTTCATACGTAACGCCATGCTTTCATACGTAACGCCATGCTTTCATAAGTAACACCATGCTTTCTTCAATTACATAATCATTGCAAAGACTGATAACATAAAACTCTTGTAGGTATTCTCCTTGCAGATGCCCAACAGTAGAAAAAAAGAACACTGAAATCCATGAATATCTGAAAGGGCTAAACTTTTCATTTGCATTTCATTAATTCACGTTTTTCCAACATGGCCTTTTAACAAATCACACATTGTTTCTTGACAAATCGTCTTTTCAGTTTGCGCAGTTACATGACTGGGTGTCTAAAGTGTGTGCGGAACAAAACATTGGTAAGTTGAGTCAACGAAATTCATGTGTTAGTCCAGTAGTATTTCTGGTGACATTAACCCCCTTCTCGAGCAACCAAGAAAGTGGAGTTGGAGACACCCAGAAAAAAGCGAAAAAAAGGTATTTGGTTGAAATAAAACAAACAAGTTAATAATGTATCAAGATAATTTTTTTAAAATTTGTTAAGGACGGGGAACACAGCTTTAAAGTAAATGTGACCCGTTATTCAACATCTTATTGACGGTGATTGAGTTAGTATTAATGTCATCTTTGGTTTCTTTTTTTCATTTTTCCAGATGATTCGGGACTGGCCAAAGTTTTGATGAGCATGTTATTCACGTTGACTCAGCAATGTAACAGTTCAGTCAGCTTGCTGCTGGACGTGGCCCAGGACATACACAGTCAAATTGGTGATATCGATGAGGTAAAATAGCCATGCTATCAAATGTACCCCAATAGCAAGTATAGCCCAGTAGCAAATATACCCCAATAGCCAAAATTGTTGAGGTAATATAGCCATCCTATGAAATATAGCCCAGTAGCAAATGTAGCCCAATATTGATAAAGTAAAATAGTATATCAGATATACCCCAATATCAAATATAGCCCAGTAGCAAATATTGATGAGGTAAAATAGTATATCAAATATAGCCCAATATCAAATATAGCCCAGTAGCAAATATTGATGAGGTAAAATAGTATATCAAATATAGCCCAATATCAAATATAGCCCAGTAGCAAGTATTGATGAGGTAATATAGCAATCCTATGAGATATATCCCAATAGTAAATATTGACAAGTAAAATAGTACACTATCAAATATAGCCAAGTAGCAAGTATTAATGGGGTGCAATAGCAATGCTATCAAATATACCGCAATAGCAAATTGAAATGGTATTGTACATTTTTGTAGATTTGAATAAATTACATGTTAACATCTTGAATTTATCGTCTTCTTTTTTAGGAAGTCGTAGTTGAACCCAGCACTCATTACTCCATTGTCAACAAAAAGACTGCAGCTCCAACTGTTCTGGTATGACCCTCATTCTACTGAAAAATATATCCTCTTAGAAAAACTCGAGGCCTTCGTCTTTCCTACGCAGGCCGTATTTCTTTTTTTTTCTCCCCCTTGCAGTTCCAGCAGGATTGTGTTTCGCACCTTCTGATTGGTCACTGTGACCACTCATCAAACATGAAATCCCAAGATAATTTTAGAAAAATGTCCAACATTTTCCAAGATTTCAGGATGATGAATCTTAATAGAAGCCAACACCTATTTGTACAAATACTTCACACATGCAGAGCCAACCAAATGAAGCAATTAACGTCTTGCACATCCACACTCGTACCCAAAACAATCCCAAGGTCTGGAGAACCTTTTCCAAGGCCTTGCCTGAATTCCAGCGATCTTGGGAAAGGTCTCAAGGAGTGGCCACACTGCTCAGTTTTTTTCTTCTGGTTTTCTTACCTTGTTACAGTTACTGCTGATGTCTCAGATTGACCGCAGTCTAGAGGAGACAGAATGGGTCTTACTTCGCATGAAAGCCGAACTTGCCAGTGATTCCGATAAAGGTTAGTTCCCTTCTCTCCTTATTTTACGGGAAAGTTTTCATTTTGTTTTTTGTTTTCGTTCTTGAAGCTGTGTTGATTTTCCTCTGTGGTGAGTTTCAGCTGTGACCAGAAAGGTTTTTCCTAATTTTCTTCCCATTTGTTTTCTAGAAGCGACAAAATTGCAACCATTACAGAAATTTCGGTACATAAAATGTGCATGCCATATACACGGACATACGCGCATGTAAAAATGTACGTGTATATAATACATGTACATCTATACAAGTAAATGTACAATAATGCATGTACATTACATGTATACATGTCAACCGAAGTTCGTGGATTTTTCATTTTTGTCCAATCTCACTCCTGATTTTGAACAGTACTGACTGTACCTTCAGACTATATAGATAAGTTTTGCAAAAAGAGAGTGCTGGTATTTTTTAATATTTATGGATAGACTGTACATGCTTGTGGTATCAGTCGTACTGGCCTCTCCACTTAACTCTGTTTTGACAATGTTATCAGAGGACAGTGCGTTCCTAACATTATCTCATTGATTTTGGATAGACACGGATGGCAACGGACTCACTCAGCATGAGGATTGTGAGAGGATAGTGTGTGCCAGACTATGCCGCTTAACCAACACGTTCCACGAGTTAATCCAATCGGCCATTCCCGTCGGCCCGTGTGTCGATGCCACGTTCAAAGCCGTCACCAGAATCTACACAACTCTGACAATTCTCTGTAAATATGTGAGTAAATTGCTTGCACATTTTCCACAATCCGAAGTAGTAGAGTAACAGAATAGTAAGATTTCTTCTATGTCGACTCATCCAAGATCATGTTTCCTAACTCAAATAGAGCTAGAGTGCTAACTCCTCATTCCCTTGTGTGGAATACTTTCTTTCGCATCCTAGGCGCAGAAAATTGGAACAAATGTACGCTATCATGGAAGATATTGAAATCAGATGGAGTGGAATTTCACCTTTTGAGCTGTAAATTCAATGAACGCAACAAAATGTTTGTATACTGATTGTTGGTGTTGGTTTAGGTGAATCAGTTTATTCATTCATCTGTTTCAAACACAAATGCAGATATGAAAATAGCCGCACAAAAGCTTTACACAATTAAAAAGATGAGTTTTGCATTTCTGTCACAGGTTTTTTCTGTAATTGCAATGAATGCAACAAAATGTTTGTACATGTATACTGATTGTTGGTGTTGGTTTAGATGAATCAGTTTTATTCATTCATCTGTCTCAAACACAAATGCAGACATGAAAATAGCCGCACAAAAGCTTTACACAATTAAAAAGATGAGTTTTGCATTTCTGTCACAGGTTTTTCTAACATGATTTGCTATTCCAATTGTTCATCTAACACAAAGACCTTTTAAAATAAAAAAGGTTTAAGTTGGGCGTACTGAATGTGACAAACTCTGGACTCTGTTAGGTGCTGAGGTAATTTCTCTTAATCCTAGCGGTGGTTCTGTGGCATCCTTCTCTCAGTCTTAGCAGATGGTCTTCCTTTTTTCTTCCTTGATTCTCTTCAGTATCTGGCTGTGTACACTCAACAAGCTGGCCACTTACCTGAGAGGTTTGAGAAGCTTATCAAGTCGGTTGCCACACTGCTCACACAGTATGCCTATGGGATGATCAACTACATTCAGGTACAGGTAGTAGCCAAAGAAACAAGGAGTTTACCTTAATGCAGTTCCAAATATTCTATCATCATCCTTCAAAGTTAAATCGAGGTTTTCAAATTGCAGTGGAATCCGTGCACTATTCGCGGAAGAGTTTCAAAGGGAGAGTTGGGGAGATCTCTGGGAGGGACATTAAACACACTGTTGACAGCTCCTGATGCTCACATGAAACCTTTTTTACAAAAGAGTATTTTTCAAAATGAACGTACTGGAGATGTCAAGATCACACAAAAGCTGGGAGTGAGACAGTGCAAGCGGCAAAGGCCATCATAATGTAACCTTGGCTTGCCTAGGGACGAGGGTGTTTGTTTTAGTCGATAACGTGGGGGGGGGGGTTGTTTTTGCGACCATAACCAGGAACATGTTTGATTGAACCACCACTGTCTTTCATGCAGAACTCCGCTGCGTGGCGCTATTGCATCTCTGCGCAGAACCGAGGTCGCTAAAACGCTTGACCAAAACACAAAAACAACCCCCGAAACATATTTTTAGCCGGAGGCATTTGATTACAAAATTGTCTGGTGTCCGAGCATGAGGCGTGTGACACACTTCAGAGGCGTGACACTTCGTAGGTCAGCTGCACTCTATTGTGGTTCAATTATCCTGAAGGTAACGTCTCCACTACGTGATAATTATAATATAAATGCAGTATTCCAGAGAATATGTATATAGTTGGATATTTCAGATATTTGATTTTTTTTTACAAAATAACACGGAATGTAACGAATCATTTCCTGCTCCTCAATTTGTCCAAATGAGCTGTGTACAGTTGTTCAGCTGATAAGAAGTTAGGGTTGGCCATTTGGTCATCATCCGTGTTGATTACCAATAGGGGTACAGTTACCAGTTTAAAATGATGAGTTTACAAGAAAAAAATCTCAACATCTCAGAAATCAAAATTTCAGTCCAATTTTTTCTTGGTCGTTAAGACTTCACAGAGCGAGCGACTTAACAATGCCACGGCTAAAGGAGGCAAAGCGAAGGACAAGAAGAAAGGGGAAGGAGACAGCAAAGCCAAGGGTGTCATGAGAGAGACCAAAGGCATCCCGGCACTGGTCTACGCTATTGAACAGTTTGAACAGTACCTCATCAAACTGTCCAAGAAATCTAAAGTAAGTCCATGTGGAGTGCCGTGGCCTCGTGGTCTGGAGCATTGAATGCGTGGTCTGCGGGTGATTTTGCAGGTTGTGGGTTCAGCCTGGGTTTGTGGTGCGTGTGCCCTTGGGCAAGGTACTTTGTCATTGATTGCTTGTCCCAACCCAGGTATAAATGGGTACCTGTGAGTGTAGAGATGGTTATTGTGGTTGGATTTAGCTGCTTTGTGTCGAAAGGGCTGTATTGAGCTGTATACTCCCCGGGGAGCTGAGATTGCCTTTGGAATTTTGCATTGGCCCAAGGTTGTTTTTGGAGGGGGGGGGGGGGGGGGGGAAGGAATGACGTCATAGCTTGTCTCTTTCTCCAACACTTCTGAATCTTAATATCTTGTATGTTTTCACCACTCATTCAAACTACAATGTAACACAGGCATAACAAACTGAGATAATGATAATAATAGTTTGGGAGCTGATCATTCTCACTCCCAGCTGAGAAGCTGAATTGCGAAGGACGCGGCTACAACGTGGTTGAGCCGTAGGCATGTAAAGGCGCCTTTGGCAGCCACTGTATGACCATGGAGCACAGCCAGAGATCGAAAATGTTGATTTTTGCGGAGGGAGGAAAACCGGAGAGCCCTTAGAAAAATCCTCGTGGCACAGGATACGCTCAACTCTACTCACATATGGTCCAAGCCCGGGCCTAATTGGTGAGAAGCCAGCGTTTTACACACTAGCCACCCATGAAGACCCTGGATTCTTCTTTCACAGGTTGATCTGATGCAGCATGTGAAGCTCAGTACATCCAGGGATTTCAGAATCAACCAACAAGCACTTCAAGACGTCTTGGACAGGGCCTCCGGCTCCAGCTCCGAAGAAGTGAGTCTTCAGAATATTTTGCTAATTTTTTTGTTTAATCTGTGTAAAGCAGATAATTCTCCACTGTATTTCATGATAACTGGCCACACCTAATAGGAATGTTATCATCTTTGGTTCAATCACAGGAAAGCTCTTCGGAAGATGAAACTCAACCGCCTCCTAAGAAATCCAAGATGGACTCCACACAGAAAGCTAGCACCTCATCACTCAGCACCAAAGGAGAAAGACCAAGTAAATCCCAAGAACATCACTAAATATGTAGCAGCAAGCTTCAATCAATATTTTAACTTATATAAGCCTACAAACATCTGAAAAATTCTTTAAGTTGTTTCAATTTTTATAAGAACAACTATCAATATTACATGCGTCAGGCTTGGTTGTGTTCTCAAGCTAGGATAAATACGTTATGAAGACTGTTTAAGAGTGCAGTAACATGTACATGTATTAGTTTTAAGAAAGTAATCTTAGGACCCATCTCAATTCATATCTGGGACCAGTTCAGGACAAGTTGCGGGTAGAGTCATTCACTTTGTCCGGTAGAAGCTCTGCATTCGTCCCGGACATGTTCCGGGAACATTTTCATTAGCAACTGCTTGACTCACGAATACTGACAACTTCATTGCGGGAAGACTGCGGGGAAATTGTTCACAATCTTGCAACTCTGTATCCGATACGATGTCTGCAACTTGTCTGGAAATTCCTCCAGCACATGGATTGAGACAGGCCCTCCACAACTTAAGACCAAACTTTCAAGCTCATCGCCATTTTCCTAATTTCCTCTGCTTTCAACAGCCTTTTAAAAAAAAATGGAAAACACAATAGTGGGGCACCATTTTTGTTGTTGCAAACTTCTGTACCTATTTATCCATACTTGCCCAAACCAACGCATGTATCATCTTTCAATTATGTCCGCCATATCTTAAGAAATTGAGAAAACTGAAATAACTTACATGATCTATTGTCAAGATGTCATAAAAACTTCTATGCTGCGTCTATGACTTCAAGTTCCGCATAAATTGCTGAGGTTACTTACATGTATACAATGCTACTTTATAATTCCGCTGAATTTTAAAAATTATTTTAAAACACCTTACTTATTTCAAAATGAACACATCCGAAGACTGCCAAAACAGCTAGATAGATCAGTGAATTTTTTTTCTTCAAATTTATAAATTGATCACAGATTAACAAAAAAACACAACTTATTTGCTTTTTTGATATATTTGATGATATTGATGATATTCATTGTACATGTACCACGCTCTTTTGTTCCCTCTACTACTGCTGGTGAGTTTAGGTGACTGCATATATTGGTCTTACATCATAGGATAGCAAAATTAATATGTGTTATTTCAAATACAGCAAAGTTACTAGGTCAATAGGCTATGCATTATTTGATGAAAGTTTGTTTAAAGTGTATGGTTGAATTTTTGAAGTTACATTGTCTCACATCTGTACTCTCAAGGAAGTTCATCTTTAGTGTACGTTCATTTGAACATTTCTCTAAAATGTTTGTCTATTTTTAATGTTTATAAATAGAAAGTGCACATCTAATATGTGTACATGTATAATTACTGAAACATTTAAGCTTTGTTCAATACAAGTTTCTTATTGAAACAAAAATTTGAGATATAGCATCTTCATTTACACTGTAATGACACTGTTTTTATAACACCCCCGCCCACAGATTCTGTCTTTTGATTGGCCCAGAACATGTCACTTGGTATTTGTTATTCCACAGCCCAATAGACTGTTCCACGGCACCCTCTCTCTGAAATGTACTATGCACATAGCATTCAACTTTAACACATGTTATATTCAACAGATATCGACTGCTTTAACATATGATGCAGTACAACTGGAGAGTGACATTGAAGGAAAATGGAACATGTCATGGATCACCTCAGAGAGCTAGTTTTGCTACATTTCTCAAAGCAGTTAATACATTTTGTTTATTATCTTATAACTATGAGAAACAATCTTATAGTCCAAATCGGTGGTAGTTATGATAAAGTTAATTGCTGGGCTTGATTTTGAAACCACAATCTCGAGACATGTTTACCATGTTCAGAAAGAGTGCTTCATTCTTTTGTATGGTGGCGGATCAGGTTGCATCCTGACCTCGGCCATCGAAGCTGCTGATATGTTGATTCCATGTGCCTCATGAAACCTGACAAAACAGCCAGAGCGGCAAAGGTTGACACGACATGCGCTGCAACCAAACTGGGTGTCACGTCGCCGCCCACTTCGGGTTCTCCTTCTATCTGCGCAACACTGCCTACAGTTGCGACCTCTACCAGGGAACTTGACTAGACAATGTTCATCGGTGTCAGCATCGGTGCTTTCATGGGCCGGTGAGCTTCGATCTGGTTGGACCACCTCTTGGAAGTCGGATGCTTCCGAGACAGCACTTGGCTGCAGCTCAGGGTACCGAACTTGAAATTCTGGCACCATAGAGTAGGACACCATGGCTTTCTGAGCGGCATTGTGTGAGCTACTTGCTTCTGCTGTTTCCTCGGATGTAGCTGGCACTGTGCTCACCTCAATGTACCGTTTGGGGCATGCCTTGCTTGGATAACCCATCAGCTTGGAAGCTACCTCCATGGCAAACTCTGTTAATGACAGACAGTTCCCTCTGCTTTCTGTCCACATAACATACGCATTGTTCATGCAGATGTCGATAAGAAGCCAAACTAGTCGCTTCCACCACGAGTTGGTCAATTTCTGTACCATAGTCCCTTCCGACAAAAGCAGGCACTGTGGCAAGATACCCACCAAAGTCATGTGGTTTGCAATTGTCAATGGGCAAGGTACCGTCTTGATGGAGTACTCTCGTGTTGTTGGATGGCAAAGTTTTAAGGTTACCGACTGCATCTGCCCATTATGCATTGTTGACAGGCATCGCTTGAGTCGCTTGCCTTTCCACATTGTCGCAGTGACCACCTTGTACTGAACAGACAAAGTGCTGCCTACTTCAATGTCTCCACTGGTGCAGATGTCACCAGGCCAGTTGGAACAGTCGGTGGTTACATGAGTGCCAAGTTCTGTGAAGTACATTGCCATTGTAGGAGATATGAACACACTATCTGCGTACAGACAGTGTCCAAGGCCTGACAGATTCTTGACGAGGCCGGTAAGTGCCTTCTCTTGAGTCATACCTTGACTGCTGTTTTCGGAGTTCACATCAGTGTCGCGATACCATTGGAGATCAGTGATGTATCCCGTGTATGCATCTTTAAGAACCAGCAGTCTCCAGCCCTTTGTCTTAATGTCTGTTTTGCTTTTGACATTTCTTGTGAGCTCCTTGATGACCATGTCTCGATGTGGCTGGTAGTGAGCCCTGCAGGATCTCTTGACGTGCTCGTGGAGAGTTTTGTTGACTTTGTACAAAGGGTCACGACTGCAGGCCTCGACTCGCCGTTCAGGGTTTGCTATCTTCTCGGGGTCTCGCCACGGGTTACTGAGATAAAAGTAATTCATGACTCGTTCAAAATGATGCATGGTCATACCAGACCTGGCGATGAGCGTGTTGCAGACATGTTTCTTCCTTGACCAATAATCTCTAGGGTCTGGCAAAGTATGGACGGCCATAGTAATGCAGACGCCAAGGAACTTCTTGATGTCCTGTTTAGATTCAACAGCATGCCATCTTGTATCAGTCCATTCCCACCAGTCACGTCCCAGGTCTCTCCTCTTCTCCTGATAGTACTCTGCGTAGTTATTCGTCTCAATTTGTGCTTCTTTATAAAGCTCCTCGGGGAAAAACTGGTGGAAGAAATCTACTGGTGCTTCCAGGGTCTTTGATGCTTCAGATGTTGGACCAGCTACTGCTGGAGAAAACGGCCTGAGTTCTGTTGTAGCCACCTGCCTGGTCCAAGGAAGTTTCTCTCCGACATCTTGTTTGTGATGCTGTAATGTGTTGGTGTCATTTTCATCAGAATCTGACTCGGCGTCATATTGAAATAGATCATCCCCTGAAATGTTAACATAAGTCAATTTAACACTAGCCCCAACTCCCTTGGGCATCTTTAAAAAGATAATATGAAATTTTGATGATTCTTTTTAGGGTTACATTATTATTGTAATTTTTTTCTTCAAATTGATCATCCTAATTATCCGCATATATGGGTAAAAAAAAAAAAAATTCTCAACTACATGTAGTACCCAGTCTGATAGGCCAAGAGGTAGGCATACATGATAACTTTCTGCAGCATGATTTAAGATTAACACTAACCGCCCTGAATCCTTGAAAAATCCTCTTTGTCAAAGTGGAAAAATTTGAAGGATTGAGGTTACATTGCAAAAGTGCGTTACTGATTTCGTAGGATGCACTGTGTCAAGGTCTTGGGCCGGACCCTGTGTTGTTTTTGCTCAGCCATGCATAAATATAGGCCTGTATTATGCTTGAAGTCCTTGGTACTGCCCCAGGATGTCACTGGCCAAGCCTCAACATATTGACAGTCACTGCCGCAGGATTTTGCAGGATTCAGGCAGTGGTCACCCCTCCGTGGACCATATTCAAGAAGTAATGGAGGAATTTGCAGGATTGAGGCTATATTTGCTATTTTTCCATGAGGCCGATTGGAGGATTTTGCAGGATTGAGGCTACATCCTAGCAAAAAAGCCTAGGGTTCGCTTGATTTAAAATTATTATGCAAATCAGACACTTCCAGATTCTCAAGAAAAAAACTTAACCCGACAGGCTAAACCTCTATGACCAAACTCATTTAATCACTCTGTTCCATACCTATGCACCTAGTTCTTCTGTCCGTCATCACCGCTGCGTCATCATCAATATCAGAATCTAAAAATGAATAAATAAATATGGATGTAAAATAAAAACAACTGATTTCATCCGCCTTGTGACTGAAAAAAAAACCACCTGTGGAACAAGCTCAATATTACGAAGTCTCCTTTTTCTTTTTCAAATCAGTGCCTCTTTATGCCTTTTCTAAAAACATTATTCGTTCAAGGATATCATATTCTTTGTAAATTCGTTCGGAAGAAATGAAAATTGAGGCTAGTTGGAGATATTTATTAAACAACTTAAATGCAACGCTCTTAAAATGATGCCGACTACCACTACCATCCTTATATATGTTTTATATATTTATATGTTTATGAAGTGTACAAAGAACGGTTTGCGACGATCGTACTGCAGAGTTTTTGCAGTTTTTGTATTCATTTCCTTGGCAGATTTTTACTGCAAAAAACTTAATTGTCATATTGAATATTTCGCGTCTTTCGCTCATTTGAGGTTTGGATATTGGGCGTGTGTATATATCTGTTCATTTACTCGGCGAACAAAAAGTCCCATCGCAAGGTTCACGTACACAGAAATCCCAAGTATCTTTAGTTTTCTTTATATAAAAAAACCATCGCGGCCGGGTCTAGACCCAGGAGCACTATAGAACTCCTTTTTTTCCAATTTTGACTTCGGTCGGTCCATGGAGGAATAAGAGAAGATGCCAAAATCACGGTAATGACTAAAACGCTCATTCGCTTCGATCTCCAAAGTCGAAATTCAGAAAAATGAGTTTTAGCGCCCCACAGTTACTGGGTCGGTTCATACTTGGCACGAATGCGAACACGTGCGATTTTGTGGCGACACGGAAGAAATTCATACATAACGCCCACGGCCCGATTCACAGTTCATAAAACCTAAATTCATGCAACACCGCAATTCGCTGCGAAAGAATCGTGACGTTTGTTTCGCATCATTGGCCTTAATATTAATAAATTGAATGCTTTCGGCTGTAGCTGAAACTAGCGCAGATCATTTACGCTCGATCTCCCTAATTGTCGGCCTGTAGTTTTACTGCGCCATAATATTCGAAATGACTCTGTCGATATTTTATAAATGGTAGCAGATACGAATTACTGTAATACTGTTAATAAGGCTTACATGTAACTAGCGTAAGTTCATCATTGCGTTGGTTGCGGAACATTTCACGTTGCGCAACAAATTCAGTGCGTTACAATACGTAAAATGTTGCGACGTAGGGCCTACCCAACAAATTATGACGTTAATTACGCAGTCATTTTTTAGGTCATAACATAGAGCTGTATAATAAAGATTATACAGCTCTATGGGTCATAAGATTAGGACTAATCTGTAAGTTAAGAATTAACACTTATTTTTAGAAACAAATACAAGACTTTGAAAATATATACATGAATGAATATCGAAGTTATTATTTGATACTGGAGCTCATGGGAATAAAGTAAAGTCCTTGATACACCATCATAACACTAGTCGGGGCAGCTAGCTAGTTGCCAGCCGCTGAGAATCCGTACGTAAGTCCAGTGCAACCCATGGAAATGTTTCCGTGCACCCATTTTCAAGGCATCAAGTTTTTGAGGCGGTTTGAACTTGGCGCGACGCACTCGTACTCGTACTCGCACATACCATAACACACAACCAGTTGATTTGTGTGTGCGGTACGTGTTAATTCCACCGCCGGCCCCCAAAAATATGGAAACCTAGTAGGTCCGGACTAATGATGCCGGTATTTTTCTCTTGCATGCTTGAAACATGCTTGAAATAAATCCTTTACGCCCTCGAAAACCGGTATGGCCTATACCTCCATGGTATCCGAGAATAATCTGCCGCGCCGGTGAATGGCGTTATTCTTTCGAAAAGCATGACTTACCATCCACGGTGCTTTTGGATTCAGACGATTCCGTAACGTTCTCTGCATACATGCTCCATGTTGCAGGCATTTTGTCATGATCATGGTTTCCGTCATGATATAAATTCCCTTGTTCATTATCCACTGATTGTGACGTTTCGTAATCAGATACGACTTCCTGCTTGACCGTTACACACTCGTCCATCATGGGAAAAGTGGAATCCATTTTGTCGGGTTGGCTTTGGCTTATCAGCCGGAAAACGGCAAACAAAGCGAGTTTTTACGTTGGTTGATGGGTCAAACAAGCCGCACTGTATTTCACGGTACTGCAACGCGTAATAATACGCTACGACGTACCGTAGGCTTCTACACGATACATGTACATGTACATGTACGTACACACAGCAAGAGCACCGCGTAACGTACACGTTCATTCGCATTGATGTTCATTCAACGTAACGCAACATGGTGCACGCAACGAGCGCTGTCGAAGTGAACCGTAGTTGACCTTTGATAAATAACTCATTGTCGTAAACGTAATTCTTACCGACATGCGGACTACGCATTCATGCGGCTCTCATAATCCAGCACTGTGTAATTATAAACAGACCGAACCATTTTGATTCGTGGGGGTAGGCCCACGCATACGTTTGGATTTGAAATTACTGGAGTTGTGTAGTCCCGGTAATAAATTTCCATGCAAAGCCACACCTTTTCAAACAAGACAAAAAAACTCCCCATTGTTTAATCTATATTATCGCCAAAAAATAATAATAACTAAAACACTTCAGGAAAAATGATTAGTTTATTATGACTTGAGCATATACACCATTTTCACTTTCTTTTCTACAAGCTGTAGGTTTTTCTACATCGCATGGTCGGGTTTATAATGTTGGAAAGAGAAATGTTGAGGGGAGAATACATTTAGCTAGCTTTCGAAATACAAAGCGAAAGTGTGAACTTAACATGGAGTAACTCCCTGTTTTAGTTTTAGATTGATTAAATCACACTGACTTCAAACTTGAATTCAATGAATCGTTACATGAATAAATGTTCATGCGATTTGTTCTCGCACATAATATTGACAACTTGAAGTAAATCTCAATTTGTAATAAAACATTTAGGAACTACTAATAATGGTTAAACATCAGAAAGCATTGATCTTGGAACAATATATACATTGTAAACATGTTCTAAAATTTGAAAACAGAAGAAACTTTACAGGAGCAAGAGTATCATTGCAACAAATAAAACAAATTTTCTTACATTTTTAAACACATACTGCTAAAAAAAAAATCAGGGGGAGGTGGCAGGGAATCGCCTCATATTGCACCACAGAGCATTTTGAGTCCAAAATTTACAATTAGAGAGAAGCTATGTTACAAATATCAATCCGGAAAAAATACGACACTAGTAACCTGATGACCAAATTGCCCCCCACCCACGGCCGGCCCGCCCTGTTCCGCCACCCCTGCCCTTAAGTAAATGACCAAATTTAGCATCTCAGCCCCAGCCCCGTCAAAACAAAATCAAAGTAAGAAGTTGAAGCCTTATTAGTTGAAGCCAAGTTGAAGCCTCGTTAGTGAGTTCCTTTTTCCCTGCCAGGCGCCTGGCCATGCTCTTGCATGCGGGGATCTCGAGGGGAAATCCCTTCACCGTCCGGGGCGAGAACAGCCCCAACAAAACCAAATCAATTAAAGTAGGAAAGCGAGTGCAAATTTTGTGAGCAGAACTTAATTCCTAATTTCCATTTTGAAGAGTGTATTTCCAATACGTGACATATCCAGTTGAAAAGGGTACACACTTTGCATGGTAATGAAACTGTAAAGAATATAATTAGTAGAACACCTGTTTCTATACTTTATATACCAGCCGTCGACATTGCTTTTGGGCAGCCACTTTAAAGGAGAGAGCAGTATTGCAAATGAGAACAATTCATAATGGCGTATATCGCGCTTTGAAATAAACTGTGCAAATATTTGTACATATTGAAAGTTGTATACAAGACGTAAATATCAATGTATTTCAAGTCTCTTAATTCTTTCTTGGTTTGTTCTTTATTTGAAATGTAAGGAACTTGGAGTCGTCACTGTCAAAGTTGAAGTTCGAGAAATAGAATTGTTTTAGTGCTGATAGGCATTACGGGTCAATCAATTCGATATGATTTCTTGAAGTTTGGTGCAAAGATTTTGCTGTACGACGTAGAACACAACAATTACGTGCCACATCACACTGAAGCAAGTGCCAGAAACTTCGCGTGCGAGACTTTCCTTGACCTCAAGATCCGGGATCACTTTAAAAAATAGTGTCTCCTGCAAGTATGGATACAGAATTAAAAAAAAAAAAAAAAAAAACACAGTGGGCACATACTTGCCTATAATTCTGTCATTATTGGCTGTCATTAATACTTGCATATTATGCATGGCTGTCATTATTGGTTTCGTGCCAAACTTAGCTGTATAAAGGCGCGACGCGCTGTCAGATCCTTTCCATCCGCTGTGAGTGCACGTCAAGTATTCACAAGATAAAGAACTTACTGCGACTGTTGCGAGAGCTAGAGACATACAACCACGTACAAGTCAGGTATAGTCATATTTCACGTGTAGGGTTCTACCAGCGAATCTGGTTTGCATATCATTATTACGCATTTTGAGTCAGTAACTTTGAGTCGGTTCGGGTCGGTTTTACCTTATTTTTTTTGTCGGGTCGGGTCGGGTCGGTTTGAGGGAGTTAAGATCGGTTCCGGTTTGGATTCGGTTTATATCTCTAATGTTTCGGGTCGGTTTGGCCTGGTCGACCCGACCCGATGCACATCATTAATGCATACATGGGCGGAGATCTCGGGCGGGATGGGTCCCCAACTAATGTTTTTTGGGGGCGGGGAACGCCATGTCCCCCCTCCCGCCCCCCCCCCCCCCTCCCCCCGATAATTTATCCCAGTGCGTATAGGTTAGGCCTAACCAAAATGAAAATAAAGTCTTGATGTATGATTTCTCAATAGTAAAAACCTCAGAGAAATTGCTTGTCGGCATCGCTTTTCACTTAAATGCATATATGCGGAAAATGAGCGTAATACGACGTGCATGTATAAAATAAATATAAGTGCACATTTATTTCATGTGTACCCCCTTGCTTTTCTAAATCCCACAGTTATGTAGCTGGTCAGGTGGACGTGGCCCCAGTCTCTCCCCCCCCCCCCCCCCCACCCGCCGCCCAACAAGAAATCGCTGCTCGCTGGTTGCATAGGCTACGTAGGTGAAGAAAAAAATATTTGCAGTGCCATACTAAAAATGTAAAGAAAAGTAATTTCATTTCATTTGTGTATTTGTTGGCAGTATGAAGACCCTGGTGTTACTGTTCGTAGCCCTGACCTCTCCGGCATTAGTGTGGTGCGCATGCAGCGATTACCTGAGTGACTTACGAGACAGACCGTCAGGTCTTAGCCCTTGCCCCTGCACCGCAACACAGGCCAGCGATGATTCCAACTTCGAGGCGTCCAATTGGTTCATAGGTACCTACCACCCCGGCGCTGATTCCTGCTACAGATCGGCAAGACCGTCATCTTCCGGCTCTGGCCAACAGTGCTGTTACAGCAGCACTGGGCGTATCATTACTAGTTCTCCTGGCGGAGGAACTGCCGATCGATACAGCCCCAATTATAGTTTTTGGCGGCACAGGCGGTATGATGTTCTTCCATGGAACGCATGCTGCAGTGGTCAGCTGGATTCGTCTGACTGCGCGACATACTTCCGATACCGCCCGATCGATAACTGCTCCCGGTAAGTGTGTAGTGAAATCCAATGCTTTCCCATGGGGCCCAGTAAAGAGAGGACAATGTGAAGAAATTACAGTTTTAGAGGTGGGAGGAAAACCCCAGAAGAATATCCTGAGGAAAACCCACGGAATCAGGTAGGGACCGAAAGCCCAATCCACACATTTGCCCAGGGACAGGAGTCGAACCCGGGTCACAGTGGTGGAAGGTGATCGAGGCAAGTACCGCTATGCCAACCTAACTCCCGTTTTGTTATGAACAACAGTCAACATGTTGGGGGGTGTTCTGTTAGTTCAAAATACGGGGAAATAAGTGAGGGCATTTTATTTTATAGTGCATCAATGCATAATAATTGACAGAAACAACATTCTAATATATTTTTTTGCTTTTTGTGTGAAGAAGTTACTTATTGTGTAATTACCTGTGACTCCTTTCCGCTACAGATACAGTGGCTAGAGTGACGACCAGACAAGACTTGTGGCTTGGTGGCTCTGTTTGCTCATCTTCACCAAAATGTGACCACTAGCTTTGACGATTTGGCCATCTAAAATCTAAAAGTATACAATTTAAACAGTTCTTGGACTGTTGTTTCACGAAATTTGGTAACATTAAAATTTGCTTTAATGATAATGTATTAATATTATTAATACATAAACCAATTACGTCACAATAACCTCTATGTTAAAAAATCGCCTTGTTGCCAATCATTTCTTGCATGTCATTATGTACTGTTACCGCAAACAAAATGTAATAAAGGATATATAATTTGTTTTTGATCTGAACATCAAAAGTGCACGTTTTATTAGCCCAAATCCTTAACTTCTTTCTTTGGGTGCACGATTAACACGTTGTCCTCAGCAAACTTATATATTGTTGTCCAATGTTACATTCTGAATGCATTTAGGATTCATTTACACAAATCGGTTTATTATTCCTTCAAGTCACAAATCACGTGAAACATCAGACGCATAGCAAAGCAATCAACTGAACTAGAATATACCGTTTATGAACATTTGCAGTAATGTGTTCATTTTAATGCTTTTTTAAGTACTTTTTTTGCTTCGTATGTACCCAGTTTATAATGCATTTAATGTTTAATTATAGTATTCTGCTCTGCATAGATTGTAATAGAAGGCTTAAAGTACATTTGCAGCCTGTTTTTGATTATGCATGTCTGTGATATGTGATATGTTGAACAGATGTGATATGTTAAACGTTAAACATTATACTTTGACTTATTGATGATATAATTACAACACATCAGCCAATTACTTCACAATAATCGCCATGTTGCCAATAATTTCGTGCATGTTCTATTTTACCGTTACAAGGATGAGTCACGTTTTGATCGGACGAACGTTTGTTTTGAATTTTTTTAAGAACACAAGTTTTATTTTTAATAAGCAACGCAGGCAACTGAATTATAGAATGTCGTTTATGAAGAGTTTGCAGTGAAATGTTCCTTTAATTTTTTTATGCACTTTTCGCTTCGTTTAGCCAGTTTTATCAATGCTTTTAAATGCGTAGATTGTAATAGAATGCTTTTTTCTTAAAGTACATTTGCAGTCTATCTTTGATTT